AACCTTTATATACAAAAAAATCTAATATAGACTAAACCTATCTATTCTAATTTACTCTCTATATAATATACTACTATTATATATATATAATATATTACGTCTTATTATAGACTCTAGCCTACTTATTATATATATAGAATAGAAGACTAAGATAATAAGTTTTATAATAGGTTTATACTTAAATATATTAATATTAAAGATAAAGGTTTTATTACTTAAATAAATATAATAGATTTACGTTAGGTATAGATACTAAAGATATGCATTATATAGAGGTAGAAAGGTTTTATATCTAGCCTAGATAGTAAAGTTTAATATTAGAGTTAGATAGTAAAGGTTTTATATCTAGATAAAAAGTAATTAGTTCTTAGTACCTACGTGCACTCTAACTATAAGCTAGTAGGTATCTTACTCTATAGTTAGAATTATACAAAATGTATAAGTATATTATTACTTATATAGAAGTGTATCTACTTTATATAAAGTTAAAAGAATTAGTAGTTATAGAATATTTATAAGAAGATTAAAGTTTAGAACTTTAATCTAGATATTATCTAGAGAATCTTATAAACTTTAATCTAAGTAAGCACTAAAAACTAGAGTAGTATAGACTACTTATAGTAGACTTTAACTTAAAGTTTATATATCTAATACTAATAGATAATATAGCTACTTTATAGTTATATATAAGTATAGATATACTAGATATCTAGCTAGAGAACTACTTAGCTTTATTATAAAAAATATCTATTCTCTATACTAAGTCTAGCTTTATAGATAAAGATACTACCTAATTTAATTATCTAATAGTTTCTACTAGATATAGTTACGCTATTAGAATTACTAGTAAAATATAATATTAATAAATAATAGTAGTATTAACTATAGAGTATAAGTATCTCTAAGCTTTAGTATAAAGTAAAGTAATATTTATAAATAGAAAAGGTTATAGATACACTATAGTTATAAAGAAATATCTATTTATCTAATTATATAAGTTTATAGATAGATATTTAGTAATAAAGAAAACTAATAAAAAGAATTAGTAAAAGTTTAGAAAAGAGTTAGATATAAAGAGATAGTAGTATCTACTTAAGATAAGATTTAGAATAGACGTATTTATATTATTTCTATAATAACTAGTTAATAACGCGTATATTAAGACTATTTTAACTATTACTTAATTTAATTAGTAGATTAAAATACTAGTAGTATATAATTTAACTATATAAGATACTATATTAGTAATTAAGCTTCTATATATAACGTGTATATTAGAAGATCTACTACTAAACTAGTTAGTATTAGAGATATTAATAGATAATAAAGTAGATAGCTATAATCTACTTTTTATACTATTATATATTAGAAGTATATAAAGAATAGTAGGTAGAATTATTAAAAGTAAAGATAGATTAGATAATAATATTAGAGTTCTAAGTTTATAAGTTAACTAACTTAGAGATATATAAAAAGCTTTATTATATACTATCTATAGATAATTTTATATTATAATATTTAGATAATATTATATACCTATTATATAGAGAGATATAGAGAACTTTTCTAGATTCTTCTAAAATCTTCTATTCTATTATCTTATATATAGATAATAAAGTAATATTAAGTAAAGTATACTTTATTATAGAAATTAATTAGAAATATTTTAATCTTATTATATACTAAAATTAAGATTTAGTATATAGTTTATATATTATAAAAACTTTATATTCTTATAAAAACTTTATATCTCTATAAACTTTATATTCTTCTAGATAGTATATTCTTCTAGACTCTATATTCTTAGATACTTATTCTTCTAGTCTAAGTATAGAAGAGTATTAAGTCTAGTATTAGAGTATATATACTATATTTTTTAGAATTTAGAGTCTATATTCTAAAACTTAATATAGTTAGAAACTAGTAGATAGTTAAATAATATACTTAATTTTAGATTAATACTTAGTAGATATAAAAAAATAAAGATAGCTTATATATTTATTAGTAAACTAATAATTCTATAGTAGAAGCTAGTCTAAAAAGAGTAAGGTCTATTACTAGTATATAAAAAAATATATTTTAAAAAGATTAAAATCTTACGTTTAGAGGTATAGGCGTTAGGTAGACTAAGGCTTAGGTTCTTAGCGCTACTACCTCTAGCGTAGTTAAAGCTTTTAAAATTTAAAGTAGTAAGATAACTATTCTATAAATACTAACGTTTACTTATATTATAGTAGAGAGAATTATAATATAATTATATATTCTTAATAGCTTATAACTAACTAAGCTATAGATTATAAAGTAATAAAATACTAAAATTCTAGCTTATAAAATTCTTATTCTTATTCTTATTCTATAGCTTATAGTAAAATTAAAGATTTAAAAACTTATTAAAGATATAAATAGTAGCTTAAATCTAATACTAAAAGCTATACTAGTATATTAAATAAGCTCTTAACTATATTCTTACTATACCTCTTTTATAAGTTCTTCTAGTATTAGTAAGTCTAAAGCTAATTTTATTACTAGTTATATTACTTTACTTACTAAAGCTTAATTAAGCTCTTTATTATTACTATATTAATTATTTTTCTCTTAAATATATTACTATTACTACCTCTATAAGTTCTTTTAAGATTATTATTTTAGAAGCTATTATAGAGGCTATTATAAACTACTATATTTATACTATACTAGAAGCTATTATAAGTACTCTAAAGAGCTACTTTACTAGTATAGAGCTATACGCTAGACCTATTAATATTTCTATTACTTCTATTTCTAATATTACTATCTCTATTATCTTTATTATCTCTATTATCTCTATTACGTATATAGCTAGCGTAAGACCTTCTATTATTCTTTTTTCTACTCTTACTTTTAAGAAGCTTATTAGTAAGATATATAAGCTTTTTAGTAGTTATAGTTTCTTATCTATAAAAGATAGAAACTAGAAAAACTATTTTATTAAAGACTATTCTATTAATAATCTTACTAATAAGATACTACTAATTATCTACTATATTATTATCTATAACTAGGTATATAAAGTAAAAGAAATAATAAATCTACCTTTCTCTCTAGCTCTATAGAAAGCTATACTCTAGTAAAGAAATACTTTAGCTAGAATACTTTATAAAGATAATAAAAGCTAGAATAGTAAGAATATAGTATTTATAGGTTACCTTATATAGTAAGATACTATTTATTAGATAGTAGCTATAATAGACTACTATAACTTCTATTAAGATCTAGGCTATAAAATAGTTATTATATTATAGTTATTAGAGAATAGATACTATAAGGCCTAGTATAGTATTTCTATTACTACTATATTATCTTACTAAGTAATTAGTATAGTGTATAGTTCTTAACTACTACGTAAACTTCTTAGAAGTATATAAATATATATAGTTATAGTCTATATAAGTATTAGTGCTAATAGTAATATATACTAAATATCTTAAAATCTTAAAATCTTCTAGCTATTCTAAGATAGTAGCTAGATATCTTTTAATATTTTTTTACTAAATAAAGTTTATAAAATTAGATATAAGGCACTAATAGCTTATATATATAAAGATAATATAGATTTAGTAGTAGAATAATAGCTTTAGTATAAAAAATATAATTCTATACTACTAGTTAATCTTTATAAATATATAGAATATATTATTCTTAGTGTAGAGTAAAGAGAGCTATAAGTATAGAGTACTATTTCTAGTAGCTAGATATCTATAGAATAAAGATATTTACGCTAATATTAGTATAGATAGTTTATCTTCTAATATAAATAATATATAGTTTAATAGATAGACTAAGAAAAAAATTAATTAAACTTAAAATAAAACTTATATACTTTATAGTAGAATAAAAAAGCTATAGCTCTAAAAGCTATAATAAAGTAATAGAGTATTCTAATATTATATATAATATTACTTTATATATAATAGAGTTAACTCTAAAAGAAAAATACTAAATAAAAATACTTTTAGATTATACTATTCTAGATTAGTAAGCTCTAATACTTAGTTTAGTTTAGTGTAAGAATATATATTCTTATTACTTTATATTAGTTAGACTTAAAATAATAAAGTAGTTTAATAATACTAATAATAACTTAAATAAGTATAGAAAGCTAAGAAAGTATACTATAAAAGAAAGATAAAACTTTATAAGCTTTAGATAGCTAAAGAAAAATATATAAAGAAAGAAAAACTTAAAAAAGTAAAAAAGAAGAAAAAAGCTATAAAAGAGACTAAAATAAAAACTAAAAAAGTAGCTTATAACTCTTAAAAAGTAATATAATAGCTCTAAAATAGTAAGTATAAAGTTTTATAAAGTATAGTAGTATTAATCTATTTTCTATATAAAGTAAAGTACTTATACTAGCTATTCTAACTTAGATAATCTACTATAAATATATAACTAAGTTACTAAGTAAATATAAGTAGCGTAACTTTATTATTATAATATAACTACTATAATTTTATAAAATCTTATAATAATAGCTATTATAAGTAGCTCTATAGCTTTATTTATATAATTATCTAATATTAGTAAAGTAGCTTATTTAGTAAACTAGCTTATTATATATAGAAATATAGTAGTTAGAAGTTATAAGCTCTAACTTTAGTAAGAAATATTAAGTTTTTCTAGCTAAAGTTTATATATAAATATCTTAATAATAGTACTAGCTATAAGTATTCTAAAGAATATACTAGATTTATAGCGTTATCTTATATCTTCTAGGTAAGTTTTAGTATATTATAATACTATTAAAGTCTATAGATTATATATATAGATTATACTTTCTAGATTTTCTTTCTTAGTTAGTAAATACCTACGCTATACTAAATTAAGCGTAGATTATATATACTCTGTTGCCTTATATTAGCTAGAGCTAGTAGCCCTAAGTACATTCTCTAGAGTAGGCCTAGCGGCTCTAAGACGTTCTCTTAGATAGGCTAAGATATATCTAAGATCTTTGTTGTAATTATTTACAAAGCAATACGATCGCGAAAAAGCTCTTGCGCATTTCTAAAGAAGATTCTTTCACGCTCGAAGTCGTCCACGAAACGCGACATCTTAATACCTACTAGCGAAGGCGCATACGTGAATATCGGCGCGTACGGGTAATCTGTCCCAAACAAGAGCTGCGAAGCCGGTATGTCGTACGCGAGAAGACCACCAACTTGGTGGAAGTACGTCGGGCCCGCGGAATCCCAGAAGAAGCGCGTCTGCAAAGCGGCCAGGGTGCGGTCGTAGATCGCGGGAAACGACTTCAACAGGCGGTCTGCGACAGACGGGAATGCGCCGCCGACGTGTGGGATAATGTAGTTGATGTTGGTGAAGTTGAGGATTGTCTGCGTGACGGCGAGATCTTGGAGTACGCGCGCGGTTTCGAAGTAGAACTCGATGTTGCCGGTCGGGTATGTCGTTGGGTTTGCTTCGATGAGTGAGCCGTTGATGCGCAAGTACGGGGTCGTGGGATGGATGTAGATGATCTGGTCGGCCCCGCGCGCGTCCATGGCTTGGAAGAAGGGCGTGAAGGCAGAGTCGCCAAGGTATCGACCTTCGAAATTGGAGTAGAGCGCGATACCTGCGGCTTCAAGCGTGTCGAGAGCGTACATGGCTTCAGCGATTGCATCCTGGGTATATGGGAGCGGTACAACGGCGTAGAACGAGAAGTGGTTGGGGTAGACTCGCGCATAGGCTGCGGACTGCTCATTGATCAGGCGAGCAAGCGCGATGGTCGCTTCTCGACTGCCAGGATACACGTTCGCGCCGGGCGAGAATGCCACGACTGCGTGCGAGATGCCTTGGCTCGCCATGAAGTTGAGATGCCCGCTGACGTTCCAAAACGGTGTCGGGTTCCCGCCGGCTGTTGGTGCGATTGCGCGATACCAGTCAGGGACGCAATGCGCTATGACGCTTCATTAGGTCGTTTACCACATGGTGGAGACGGAAAGACGTACCATGAACATCGATGATTGTGGTGGCATTCGAGCTATTGCGCTGTGTCATTTCTTGCGCCTGGCCATCGAGGTATGTTGACGCGATGCTGTCAAGAGCGGAACTGAGGTTGAAGCTAGGTATCGCGTCGAGATCGATAGAGTCTGGACGCGAAGGTCAGTTACGCCCCAACGTCGTCTGCAGGTGCGTTGTGAATACCAGCGGTGGCGCGTTCCTGAGTGGACTGGACGATCTCGTCATGCGTTGGCCACCCGTTAACATAGGCGGAGAAGGAAGTCGTCCAGGTCAAGGCGACGAGGAATTTCGTGTACGTCTTCATCCTAGCGCAGTGAGAGACGAAAGTACCGTTGCGAAAGCAGGCATGCGTGCCACGCCTACTCATGTAATGCGCATCGCTGCGACAGGGTACGCGACCGTACACCCAAAGAGGAAAGTCTCCAAAAGTCTTATATGGTATTTGGCCCATTAGTGACACCTCGCAAGCGATGTGTAAGCAACGCCACTGCATGTCAGCACGCGAGCGGGTAAAGAGGCAGCTGGGGCTAGACCAACGCCCGAAAGGCAGTAGTATGAGATCTATCAATCGGGGTGCTGCTGCATGACCGAAATGCATTCTTGGTGAATGGCCGACATGCGGATCGTAACCTGCCGACCGATGTATTCATCACGAGGATGTGGTGTATAAAGTTCCTTCGAGCGAGACGCGCCTGCTTGATGCACAACAACGAGACCGCAGAGTAGACGCGTCGCTTCTCGTTCATTCCGGCCGCTACTGACGAAGCCATATGCGGTTCAACTCAAAGCGTACGTCGACGCCCGCGGGATGATTGCGCCAAGTCTACTGGTTCATTCGCGATGAAGCCGACGCGACGACGCCTCATCTGTTGTAAAGCTTCTCCGACTCCGTATATCTGCCTTGAGCTTTGTATCCGTTCCTATACAGCTCTTGCGCTCCATCTAATCGGTTTTATCCACCATCATATCTCGGTCGGTGACGCATGTTCGTTTCTTGGAGAGTCGTGTCTACGCCACGACCTAAGAGGCTGCCGGATGCGAAGAGCTACGATGGGAGCCATACATCGATGGCTAACCCAAATGCGCGATGCCTTGTTGTGGCAGAGGTCGCGTCGAGACCTGGGCTCGCGTTTGGCGCTCGTTGGCTATGTGGGTGGTTGCAGGACGCTGGCCAGGTGCCACCCTCGCTCCCAGGGAGGCGAGCCTGCAGGGTCCTAGCGTTCTGCCCCCACATCCCGAACGCGACATAGTTTCCCACATTACATGCGCAACGTCAGCTCGAGGCCATTGCGACATCTCCTGGAATGATTCTTTGACGGAGAGCATATCGCGAATCTTCTTGCGATAATTACTGGGAAAAGAATAGTCGACGGCTGTCTGAAATCATATCTCGAATGCAAAGAACGGTTTATCGGAACGGAGTTCACATTGGCATCATTCATTCAAAACCCAGGCTTACCAGTGTAGTGTGAAAAAGTGTCCCATGGCAACTATGTATAGCGCGCTGATCTGTCCGCAATACCATTGCACCGTCAAGTCCTCGCTGGGTTGTTTACAGCGTCCTCCATCGTCACTCTAGTCTCCCCATCGTAGGGTCTCAACGCCTCACGCGCCTCGGCAGCCTCGTCCAAGAGTAGCTTCCTGATCGCGTCGGAGCGTGGGAGGAATCGCACATGGAAAGGCTCCGGTCGCGTGTTCTCGCTGTCGGTGTAGGCGAAGATATCTAAATCAACTTCCTGATGCTGTCGCAGTGTGTTAGCGGCGCAAATGTTGACAATTTAGGTGAACGTTTCAAAGGAGACTCACATTCTCGTGGAGGCCTGGCAAGATATCAAAAGCCCAGATCATCCGCGCAAGAGAGTAAAGCAGTCCTTGCTCGGCAAGCGGCTGGCCACTACATTGCCTGCGTCCCCATCCGAAAGGATTCATGCCATACTTGTTCGGATATGGCTGTTTTGCGCTGCCTTTGCCTTCGAGAAACCTCTCGGGCATGAATCTGTCCGGATCGGGAAAGTCGCGTGGGTTTCTATGGATCGCCCACATGTTGCTAGTGAAGTTGGTACCGGCAGGGAAGTGGTAGCCTTCATAATCGAAATCGACGGTGTTGGCGTGGGGGATTCCTGCGAGGATAGTTACGGTCCTCCAGCGAAGGGTTTCTTTGACCTGTGGTGTGTTAGATGTAGAGTCAAATTTGGAATACCTGTAGCTTACCACTGCAGTCAAGTATGGCAGTACATTTGAGTCGATGTCTTCCCAGTTTGGAGAGCGATCATGCCCGACGACAGCATCGAACTCAGCGTGAACTTTCTCTTGTACTTCCGGGAAGCGCGCCATTGCCAGGATGCACGAGAGCATAGTGCTGCTAGTCGTGTCTATCCCACCGCCAATCAGATTACCCATCAGGCTCGCAACTTCGAGATCCGTCATGTGGCTAGCTTGCTGGGACGCCATAACATGTTTCCCAAAGTTATCTTCCTTCGCTTCGGCGCCTTCCTGTGTGAGCAGGTAGAAGTAGCGCGACAGTATACCAGCACCAAGTCGCATCTGGCTCGGCAACGCGTAGAGCCAAGCAGGCAAATGCATCAAGAACGGAACGGCTTCCATTAGATAGATACCGGGGACGATGTAGTGAACGGCTTCCATAAGCTTGAGAGCTTGTTGCGCAACGTAATCGTTCTTGCGATCGATGCGTCGACCCCAGCCGACAATCGAGGTGATCGAAACGGAGTAGCGCTCGATGGAGAGCTCGAAATCGTGTGGTTCAAGGAGGAAGTCGCGGATCAAGATAGCAGACTCGTGTGCTTGGAATTTACGGTACTTGCGGACGGCTTGAGAGCCGACGGCCATGTGCTACGCTATTAGCGATCTGCAGTGACCGAGACCACACAAGGTCACATACCATGAGCTTCCGATGTTTCCTCCATCGGTCGCCATACGGCAACGTAGTTTGATTCGTATTTGTCGCGTCGATCGCATCGCCCATAGCAATGATTCTCGGTCTGCTCGAGAAGATGTCTGATCTCTTCTCCAGCAAGTCACTCGCAACCCAAGCATCGCTCAATATGATGCGCGGTTGCCGCCCGATCCAGAGAGTCATCATGGGTGAGTCGTAGTGCTGGGCCCACTTCTCCCATGTAATCCATGGCTTGTACGATGGCGTTTGGAAGTGGTTGCCAACGATGGGGAATGGGAAGGGGCCTGGAGGGAGATAACGGCGACGCCATAGTATGTGGATGTAGTCTGCGATCAAGAGAACGAACGCGAAGAAAAGGAGAATAGGAACAAGCTGAAGCATTGTATAAGAGTAAAGTTTTGTGCTGCACCTGAGCGTGGTGTTACTGTGGGGGTATCGTTGTTACCACTATTTATACGCTACAAAGGCGGACAGTCCAGTCAGTCGAGTCGACGACTCATCGCTCTGGGGAGCTCGAGACTATCCCAATGATGCCAAGAACCCTCCGACATCGATGCCAATTCCGCAGTGTAAGCATGGATGCCGTCGTATGCGCGCGCGGCGGCAGCGATGGGACGTGCGGGGAAGCGAGCATGTGGGGTCGGACCGATGGGCTAGCTAGGAGATGGGATACTCACTGCCCTCCCGACAATTCCGACTTACATCCTTTTGATTGAAACGCAGGTTTTACAGATTATTCGAAATCAACAACTGAAGAGCTTTGCGCTGGACACGGCGGATGCACCACCGCTCTTTGTAGGCTTTGCCGAGCCTAGACCGACTCCCTACCTAACGTCGCTACTATGCTGTCGCGTAGCAGCTTGCATCCTTCTCTTATTACCTATCTTTGCCTGCCGCTATTTACGTAATTGTATTTATTAATCTAGTGTTATAAGCAACAGTATATAGGTATATAAGAATAAGTATAAGGTGTAAAGCCTTTATAGTCTACTTATAATTAGTTAGATTATAAATTTTATAGAGCTTAGCGCGCTAAGCCTTTAGCTAATATTTTAATATTTTTAATTTTTTACTAAAGAACTTTAGTACTATAATCTATTAATATAACACCTATTTATAGGTATTTATTAAAACTTTTATTAGAAGAGAAAAGTTAAGTTTAGTACTAAAATACTTAAGTACGTATACTAGGCGTAATAAAAAAGCTTTATAAGAATATTCTTCTATTCTTTAATATTTACTTTACTTACTATATTAGTAAGTACTTCTTTATTTCTACTACTACTATATATTACTAACTAAATAAATATTTATACGCTTTAATAGTTATAAAGCTCTTCTTTTAAGTTAAATTTTTAAAAACTTTAATTTATCTACTTCTACTTTTTTTCTTAATAATAAGATACTTTTTTTATAGCTATAAAATAAAATTAAAAAGCTTTATAGCTATAATATTAGTAGTAATCTAGCTTAAGAGTTTATAAAAAATATTACTAGTATTAAATAAAGTATAAGTACTAATAAAGTTATAGCTTAAATTAATATTAAGAAAGCTTATATTATTTTATAAACTAGCTAGCTTATTTTTAGATAAGTTTTTTTCTTCTACTAAAGTAATAATAAAGAAAGTATATTAAAAAAGGTTATTAAGTATTAAGTTAATACTCTTATTAAGTTCTAATAAAAATAAAGTATAAAAGAGATTATAAGTAAGAGAAATATAAACTTTATAAAAAAGCTATTTAAGAAAAAGAATAAAGCTTAGATAGCTAAAGTACTATATTAGTATACCTAGGTTATAAGCGTAGAAATAAGTAAATAGCGTATATTACGCTAAAAATAAGTAAAAGAATATTAGTAATAGTATAGTATTAGTTATTAATTAAAATACTGTTAAATAAGTGTTAATTTGTTCTCTAGAGTTTCTCTTAACTAGGCGCTACTACCCCGCCGCTATTTACGCTGGAACCCTTTTCTCCGCTCCTTGCGCGCCTCCTCGCCTCGATGAATAGCTTCACCTTCGGAGTCGAGAAGACTGGCCGCGGCGGCGGGCACAATTCGTGCACTGCTGCCGATGTTGATATGCAATCTCGCAGAGGCGCTCTTCATTCTGCAACATATTATCACCCTTGAGACACTGCGCTAGCATAGCCTGTTGGCGGACGTCTTCGCTTGCGTATCGTTCGACAGCCTCTAGGGCTTCGCAGAACTCGTGGAAGTTGCTGACGATGATGGTGTCGTTTTGCAATCCCCTTCCATCTGACGCCAGTCTCTTGTCGAGAGGTATAGCGTATCTATTCCGGCTGTTCCAACCCGACACCAGCGGTGGTATCTTCCACCGATCCTGCTCCTCAGCACTAAGCACTCGGCAAGTAGAACGCAGAACTTGCGCCGGCGGCGAAGGCGCTCTGCACGGGATGCGCTTTCGTTTACCCTTCGGCGGCTCGCAGATATCGACCTCCTTCTCGGGTATCTTCACGAACTTCTCTGTTAAAGGTACGAAATGACGGAACTTCGTTGGCTGGTAGAGCGGATACTCACGTTTCTTCACCATCTTTGTTCGTCCGCGGGAGTCTCTTGCCGTTGTTGGTGTGTATTGAAGGAACTCGATCATGTTCGCGGATCTCATCCGGCTTGCTTCGGAGCGCTGTAGTCCAGGCACTGCTGTATACTGTCCCTTGGTCTTTCGCACGGTCTCGGTGTTTGGTATCTCAAGATGCAGGTCTTCCGCGCTCACATGCTGTCCCAGTGGTATCAAGACACCGAAACACGAAGATAGTGTGCGGTCAGTGGTGCGCCCATGTTGCGCGGTAGAGGCTCGGTCTGGTTTCGCGTCTAGTGCATTAGTTTTGTGCGGAAGACGAGGTGTGGTCGTGAGGGCTCGTACATCTTTAGCGTCCCAGGACGGTCGTGTAGCCGGATCGTACCTCAGCTCGGGTACCAATAACGAGAGGTGTCGCGGCAACATCGTGCTATAGTGGATGTTCGACGTGTGAAGGAGCCGATGGGAGAAGGAAGTTGCGATAGTGTAGGAGAAAGAAATGCACAAATAATAAAATGAGCGTGGGTTGAGGCTCCACCGGTGCAGGCAACAGCGTTGAAACGTGACCCCTGAACCATGTTCATGAGGGCGCAGTCGTGGTGTTGGAATTTGGTAGCCACTCTGTGGTTCGTCCCGAATACGTGGTGAGACACTCACGACCCTAGTATCGGAGGGTACAGCTTGACTTCATGAGATTTCCTTTTAGACATCGTGAGTACCTGCTTGTTCCGGCATTGTCTGCTCTCGATGTCGGTGTATCTCGAACGAACTCAGGCAGCTCCGTTTCTCCCATTCGGCGAACGTCATGGCGCCGCAGTCCGGGCAGAGCGGTAGTGCGTCCTCGTGTCTCCTCCACGGTTTGCGCATTTGGGTTCGAAAACCGGAGGGCTTCCCCGTTTGCTTGATGTTGTTGCGGGACAAGAGTTTGGAGAGACAGTTGTAGGTGGCTATTAGTGATGCGTGCAGGCTGCGCGATACGCGTGGGATGTGGTATCGCGACTGGTGGGTCAGTGTTGGGTGGGTGGAAGGTGCGGGCGTGACAACTCGTACATTCTGGGGGTCGAGCGGTTGCGCATCAGCTGGGTCGCACTTTGGCTCGGGCAGTGACGACGACAAGATTGTGGTCGGCATAGTGGTATGGCGGTGTTAGTTGTATGCCGATGAGACGGTTGGAAGGGAAAGATGCAGACGCGGTGATGTTGGGAGAAGGAGCGCATCAGCATGGGGATCGAGACCTAGGGACGCTTCGATGAGCTTGTAATCGGGATGCTGAAGTCGGGTAATCGTCCTGTGGTTGACCTTGGCTGCTAGGCTGGGTGAACCAATCACAACTCAACACCAAACCTGGAGACGCAAATACCTGAAATGTGCTGGGTATGTCGCAAAATTCAAGAAGAAGCACACATCAAACCGCAGCTCGTGATCGGAGGAGCAAGCGATGGAGACGCAGGCGACGCTTAAAGGCACGAAGTCGCCGGTAATAGTCGAACTACCAAAGTCGAAGCCCCGTACCAGCCATGGCGACGGTGAACCCCGAGATGATCGATACGCCCCAAGCCATCGTCAAATTGATAGACAAGTTGATGTCCACCCACGAAGCCCGAGATGATGCGCTTGACAGGCCCGTCATTCATATCTCTCTCGAAGGCGTGAACCTTGGTCGCACAGGCACAATCTCCATCATAACTCTCTTAATCCACGACCCCCCTTCATCGCAGCACACTTACCTCATTGACGTGCAGAGGCTCGGCACACAGACTTTCAGTACTTCAGGCGCAAACGGAAAGACGCTGAAGCATATACTGCAAGATGAAAAGATCCCCAAAGTCTTCTTCGACGTGCGCATTGACTCCGCCGCGCTGTTCGCACTCTACGGCATCGCCCTCGAAGGGGTGCAGGATGTACAACTTATGGAGAGTGCGGCTAGGGAGACTACGGAATCGAGAGAGTATCTCACCGGACTGGCCCACTACATGGCTCAAAGCAGAGGTATTGGCTCTTTTCATCAGTACACGATTTGGTCGAGGAACCAAGAGGCGGGCGAGCAGTTGTTCAGACCTGAGCTCGGCGGATCGTATGACGTCTTCAACAAACGGCCCCTGCCCGATGACATCGTTAAGTACTGTGTGGGCAGGGTCAAATGTCTTCCGGAGTTGCGCAACAAGCTTTGGGGTGGGCGGAGGCAGGACTGGCGTGATATGGTGCAAGATGAAACGGAGAGACGAGTCGCGTATACTCATGGTGCCGATTATCAGCCTGGTGGGACAGATTGGGTGTTGGCGCCGTGGACCGACGATCAGAACATGGTGCTTGACATGTTTAACCTCCCAAGTGATTCTGAAGATGACTTCTTCGACTGTCTGGAGGACGATGAGGTTGAGGACGACGTGGAGAGAGGACGACGTAGAGAGAGGACGACGTGGAGAGAGGACGACGTAGAGAGAGGACGACGTAGAGTGAGGATGAAGGCCCTCCTGCACAGGCGTACCGAAGTGGTGAGCACACAAGCTATGTCAGCAGAAACCATCATGGTCTAAACCCGTAGAATGAAAAGCAATCGTTCACAAGCGCAGCAGAAGTGCGATATACAATACTGTACATATCTACATACCCCTCTCACCTTCCACTCATGCCGTCCTCTCACTATGCACCTCCTCGTCATCCTCCTTCTTCGTAGTCTCATACCTCTTACCACGGAAAGAGTACACGCCCCAGTTACTGCACGTAACATCATGCGGGTCCAGGTCATTGAGATCCCATCTCAGACTCCTGAACAGGTTCTCGCCCGGCTCGAGCAACATGTCCATCTCATTCCCGAACCTGTTCTTGAGGAAGTCGACATCCTGCTGCATATCCCACGGGCTGTATCCGGTCGCAATGATAGGCACCTTGGTTTCGAGAAGGAGGGGTAGCGTCTCCTCCCACTCGTGCGCGGAGGCGGGGTTGCCGAAACCGGGGTGGAAAACGACGAAGCAGTCGAAGTAGGGGTCGTAAGGGTAGAAGTAGCCTGTCTTGTGGATGTTGTGGTAGTACTCGACGAACGTGCTAATCTTCATCGAGTTGCTAATGCGGTCCTCAACAACGGCGCCGAACGGGTTCAAAGGCGTGCGCTCGGGGAGGGGCAGTTCCTTCTCGCGGTTGGCCATGCTCTCGGGCCCGATGAAGTTGAGCGAGAATTGTACGCGGTGGAAGAGGTAGGAGAGTTGCATCCAGGTTTCGCGGGGTAGCGAGGATTCTGCGCGGGCGCCGAGGATGAAGAGGCGGACCGAGGGGGGAGCGAGGCGCGCGTTCTTCCAGGTGTCGCCGCCGCCGGTTCGGGGTGGGTGGAGGGTGTGGCGGAGGGCTGGGGGCGCGTTAGTATTATCTCATCTCCCAGATGGTTTGTACGTACCGCTGAAGCTCTTCAGTCCCTCCGGCGTCATGCGCCCGTTCTTCCGGATGTTGTAAGGACTCAGCTCGTTCAGAACACTCGCGATGGTGATTGGGTATGTCAACAGCTTTGTCGCCTGGCGCATCTCGCGGTCCTCGTTCAGCGCGTCGAAGTCTCGCGTGTACATATATGTGTCCCAGCTCGTCATGTTGACGAGAATCTCCTCCATCTGGGGCTCCGCGAACTGGAACTCCTTGAAGAAGCGCCCACTCCTCAGATCATGGTCGTCCTCGTTGATCTGCTTCAGAACGTCACACACTTCCAGATGCGCCTCGTAGTCGTCCGCCCAATGTTCCTCGCAGCAGTATACCGGTATGCCACAGTCTGGGCACTCGAAGTCGACATGGGCGGGCGGGGCGCCCGTCTCAGAAGACTTGCGAGCCTCCAGGTCCATGGGGTTGTTCGCGGGACGCGTCGGCTGATGTGAGGGATGTGGGCAGTAAGCATGCTGGCGCATGAAAGCAGCCCGCTTCCGTATTTCAGGTATTGGCGAGCCGGAAAAGGAATTGAAGAGGTTGTCCTCGGTCAGGACCAGCTTCCGCCGATGGCCCTCGGGATCGATGTACTCATACGGCTCGAACGGCTTCTCGAAAGCCCGGGCCGGCGTCGTCGAGAGGCTGCGCTTGGGCAGGGCAAGCTTTGGCGGTGCTGCACTTTTGGTCGAGTGACTGCGTTGCGACGACACCTTGGGCGCAAGCTGGCGGAGGCCTTGCGACGGCCGTAATTGAGACCGCGGCGTCTTCAGGGCCGAGAGACACTGTCGGCAGGTGTACGGCGTCCTCATCTTGGGCTGTCGACTCGCAATTGGGGTTGGCGGGCTGCTGCCATATCGTGACATGAGGGTCCGCGAATGTTAGCGCGGTCCCGGCCAATCCAAACGCCGATTGGCTGCCTGCCCTGACGAAGACATCATCACCCGCCGCCGCCAGTTCGCAGTAACATCCAAATCACTCCATCGCAACATCGACGCGCTTTATCGTCGCATCTCACCTTAGCACGATCTTACTGAGGGAGCGCGCGAATTGCGTCCTTATGCTGAGGGTCGATAGCGAATCGCGATCTGTCCAGCTTCGAGTCCACTTGAAGCACCATTCCACGAAGCTGCTCATCTCCCAGCTGGGTATACTGACCTTACATGCTTCGATCAACCTGAGGCGTAGACATACGAACAATGCAGAAGATGTTGACGAAGTATCGACTGCTCCATAGTGCTGTTCATGTTGCTCGGTCGTAGCTGATGCGGAATTTGGACCCGACGTAACTGACCTATCAGCGACCAATGATGCTGGCTCTGATGCTCGGCCTCTTTTGCGCGGTACTTGCTAGTTCTGGATATCCCAAATATCCCGCCGGAAGAACAACTCCAAAAAAAGTCGTTCACGGAGGATCTTTATAGCGATCGCCATCCGCATACTCCTCTTCCCCGCAACTAACCCCGGAAAAGATCCAAGCCCGCTGCACAACGTCACATGGATCGCCAACATACAACAAAACCATGGCGGCGCCCAGATTGCAATCACGGTCAACTTAGTTCACAGCCAGTTTATCACTACCGATGATGTGGATATCACAGTTGTCATCGCTTCTAGCGATCTGTGGGTTGGTTGACTACTCGAATGCAAAATCACTATGGTCTACTATCCCTGCGAATGGTAGCGACATCATCCGCACCACATATCCTCTTGGAAATGGCCGTCTTGGTGCCATGCCAATTGGCCCACCCGGTGCTGAGACACTCACCCTGAACTTAGATACATTGTGGTCTGGAGGTCCCTTCAATGCATCTGTAAGCTCCGCTGACTCTGTGCTGGCAATTGACCTTCAAGCGACACTAACACATCAAACAGAACTACACGGGCGGTAATCCGACTTCTTCCAAAGCAGCAGCATTACCGGGCGTTCGGGACTGGATCTTCACCAATGGAACGGGAAACGTGACAGAACTGCTGGGCTTAGACGCTTCGTATGGCTCGTACCAAGTGCTAGGAAACTTGAGTGTAGCCATTCCGTCATTAGCAGGTGCCGACGTTACCGACTATAAGCGGACATTGAACCTGAGCAATGGCGTCCACACCACGGCATTCAGCGCGGACGGTAGCCTTTTCGAGTCCGAAACGTTCTGCTCGTTTCCAGATCAAGTTTGCGTCTATTCGATTCACTCTTCGGGTGAGCTACCAGCGTTGGAAGTGAGATTGGACAATGCACTCATTGAGCCGGAGCTGCGTAACATCACATGCGTCGGTGGTAATGCTACGTATCCAGGATATCTCAGAATGAGCGCCCTGACACAGCTTGGCCCACCTGAAGGTATGCGATACGACGCCATGGCACGAGTTACATCTGAATCCGGCATTGAGGTTGTATGTGATGGTGAAGCCAAGTCTTTGATGGTCTCCTCACGCAACGGTACGAACAGTGTCACGATAGTAGTCGGCGCTGAAACGAACTACGACGCAAAGAAGGGGACAGCGGAGTACCATTACTCCTTCCGTGGCGAAGATCCAGGCCCAGTCGTTGAGTCCACGACTCTCGCCGCCGCCGCCAGACCTTTGTCGGATCTACAAGGGCGTCACATGGAGGACTTCACTTCTCTCACTGGCCGCTTCACGCTATCTCTTCCCGATCCTTTCAACTCATCTCAAGTGCCCACATCCGAGCTCGTCGCACGTTACAACGCCAATAGTACAGCCGGCGACCCATACCTCGAGAGCCTGCTCTTCGACTATTCGCGATATCTCTTCATCGCCAGCTCGCGACCGGGCTCTCTTCCCCCGAACCTTCAAGGACGATGGGCCGAAAGCCTCGAACCCGCTTGGTCGGCAGACTACCATTCCAACATCAACATCCAGATGAACCACTGGACCGCCGACCAGATTGGTTTGACGGACCTTCAATCACCACTATGGGATTACATGTCCGACAACTGGGTTCCGCGCGGCAGCGAGACCGCCGAGCTGCTATATGGCGCACCCGGATGGGTGGTTCACAACGAGATGAACATCTTCGGCCACACGGGCATGAAGAGCGGAGCTGAGTGGGCAAATTATCCGCTTTCTGCAGCTTGGATGATGCAGCATGTCTTCGACCATTGGGATTACTCGCGCGACGAAGCCTGGTTGCGTGACCAGGGATACCCGCTGATGAAGGGTGTTGCGGAGTTCTGGCTCAGCCAGCTGCAAGAAGATATGTTCAACAACGACGGCTCGCTGGTCGTAAACCCATGCAATAGCCCTGAGCATGGCCCTACAACATTCGGATGCGCGCACTATCAGCAACTCATCCACCAGGTCTTCGATGCCGTGCTTTCCACTGCCCCCACCGTCAACGAGACTGAAAGCGCATTCATCACCAACATCACCGATTCCCTCCAACGACTCGACAAAGGCTTCGCAATCGGTACCTGGGGCCAGATCAAAGAATGGAAACTACCCGAGGAACCCTACGGCCTAGAATTCATCAACGACACCCACCGCCATCTTTCCGAACTGGTCGGATGGTACCCCGGCTACTCAATCTCCTCCTTCCTCGACGGCTACACCGACACCGCAGTCCAAGACGCCGTTCGTCAGAAACTGTACAGCCGTGGCAACGGTAACGGTGAGGCCCTCAACCAGGCGAATGCAGGCTGGGCGAAAGTCTGGCGGTCCGCTTGCTGGGCTCGCCTCAACGAAACGGATGAAGCGTACTACGAGCTCAGATATGCGATTGAGCAGAACTTTGCTGGGAATGGGTTAAGTATGTATGATGGGGATAGGGTGCCGTTTCAGATTGATGCGAACTTTGGGTTTGGAGGCGCGGTGTTGAGCATGCTTGTTGCGGACATGCCGTTGGCTGCGGGTGATATGAGGGAGAGGACTGTGGTTTTGGGGCCTGCGATTCCGAAGAGTTGGGGTGGCGGGAGTGTGAAGGGATTGCGATTGAGAGGTGGTGGGGTTGTGGACTTTGGGTGGAACGAGGATGGTGTGGTTGGGGAGGTGAAGACGGACGGTCAACTCGAGGGGCTGAGGATTGTGGATAAGAACGGGAAGGTTCTTGTGAAGTAGGATGAAGGGGGTTGAAATAGAAGAACGGTTCATTTGACTCTAATTCTAATGGTCACATCCAGGTAGAGGACGTCTTACTACATTCCCGATCGTGAGCGTACAACCAGTGCTATCACCGATAACCTTTCGAAGCAGGTTTCCAAGTGAATTGGGCATGGCAATGCGTGTGATGAGAACGTATTGACACTCGCACGTAGCGTCGATAGACGTGGCCGGAGGCTCCGAGGGTGTCAGATAGCGTGCCCCCGCTTCCGCGCCCTCTAACCCTTTACCCAGCGCTCAGTCTCGAACACCCTTAACGCGACGCCTATCGCAATACCGCATCTCGAATCTGCGTCAGACAAGCGTGATCACCCTCTCTTCTGCCAAACAATGCGCCTTCATGATTCTCATGGCTGCGCGTGTACCATCGAAACCGATGAGACCGACCCTTTCATATCGTTCCGCAGCGTTTTCGAGCCCTTTTATGAACAAAGCTTCGACGCACTCATGGTCCCACTCAGAAGAGAGGTCTGCTATTTCCTCGGCGGATCCTTCATCGTGTTCCTCGTATTCTGCAAACATATCTTTCGCTTCGCTACCGAAAGGTTCGAGGTCGTCGAATAGTTCGAAATGGTTTTGATGGAGGCAACGCTGGAGAACGATTATGTAGCCTTCTCTTGCTTCGTCTGATTGCCAACCATGTTCCCTTTGGCGATACCTGATAGCAGAGCTCACTCCTCCACTCTCCGATGCATACTTTATACGCTCACCCTTTGGGGTACGCAATTGAATGCTCGATTCCAGCCATAGCCCGCATCTCGCCGGCAATGGCCGGCATCTCAAGTTCAAAGTCGCTTTGTCCAATTGCCCTGAGATCTTTGTTTCAACGCTAAGCCCAACAACAGCTGCTTCGGTGCGTAGATGTTTATGGTCGCCATGGAATTTGAACAACCTGCTGCGGGTGATGCTGTCATTACTACAAGCCCAGCTCCATGTAGGTGCTCTCCAGATCTTGGGGGCGGGTGCAGGACGACTCCCGGGTATGCCGTAATCTTCGCTCCAGCATAGCTCTTCGATGATGTGACAAAGCCAGAGGCCTGCTTTGAACTCGCTATCTGTGACTCGACTCATCCAATTGACGATACCCTGGATAGCTACAAGCTTGTCGGTGCCATAGGTAAGCGCAGCTGCAGAATACTGATCCCGGAATGTAAGCCAGGCGTGATATGTCGCCTCATCTAGACCTGGAGCAAAAGGAGTGGATGTTGAGCAATCGGAGAGAGCGTCTCCGTCTGCACGCATCAGATCATGAACACGGTTCTTAAGTGCGGTGGCGTCATAGCGCCAAAACGATCGCGCCCAAGGTGGGAGCCAGTCAGGATACGTCTCGCACGCTTGACACTCGTTGCATTCCCAGAAAATTTGGGTACCCGTAAAGTGCAAGAGGCGACGCGAAAGCTGTCTCTCTTGACTAACCCAAGCTCTTTGGTTAAGCGGTGCCTGTCCGATGCATACGTCAGTCAAGTGTCTAACGTCACACAAGTAGGCTCCTCTTAAAGGGAACGTTCCCTGGTACTGTTCAAACCACGGACCCTCGTATTTGAAATCGAACTCGACATGCCTCGGGCATATGAGTTTCGGATGTCTTTCGCGGAATAGGCCGCCCCTGCTATCGTGTGCAGCAGTAGCAGCAATCGTGCACGCTGCATTCGCGTAGATATCTCCCATACGACGCGATTCTGCCGCCCAGTCATCTTGATCGTCTTGAAAGATACATCTATGGACATGAGCCTACGTGGTTGAGAGTATCGCGCGATACGTACAATGAATCAATCCATATATACTCAATGCGAAGGCACCGAGTTACATGGATTGCGTCCCGATATGTCTTTGGCAGCGCGATGGGGTCCAGGCCTTCCGCTAGCATCTTATGTGTATCTGCATTGAGTGTAAGCAACTTGACGTCACCCCAACAGTGCGAGAGACAAGTGTAATTTTCATCCCGAAACAACGTTGCATCGCGTAGTACCACCTGGCTACGTTCCTCCGTCCCGATCTGCAATAGTCTTGCGGGATAGGCGGATGCCACTTGTTGCCGGAGGAATTTGCACTTTGCGTGAGTATTGCGACAATCTTGGTACTTCTTCGTAAGAAAGTTGATCGCAGGTTCCGCCTGATTGCTTGGCGAAATTTCATGCGAGATGGAGTAGTCTCTCGCGGCTAAGAGTCTCGTCAGCAACTAAAGACTAATGTTGGAAGGTACTCACCAGGCCACGGAACGAATAGCAGCGACGCGCTCTCGTAGTGGCAGAACGTTTCTTGATCATAGTACTCGAACCGCAGAGTAACCGTGTCTTCATCTTCATGGTAACGCAATTGTCCTCTCACGTTGGTCCATGGTATCCATCCATACTGAGGTGGCGTAAATTCGGCATATTGATGCGCTAGACTGCAGATCGCACACGGTAGAAGTATCGCCTTGGTGAATGACGCAACATCGTGATGATGCTCGAAGTCAATGCAATGTCCCCAGTCCACGATGACAGACAGCTCTCCACGGAGGAATCGAGAGCATGACTCACAGCACAAGTTGTCTGGCATGGTCTGGAAAGTGGTGATGGGAACAGCAAAGAAGCATGGGATTAGCGTCTGAGGTTAGCGCGGCTCGAGATCTGAGCAGAATGCTGATGCCCTGAGAAGATCCCCGCATTACGTCATGAGCTATGGTGATACCGCCCGGAGACACAGTGATTTGTGTCGCGTTCCCCAGACTGGAAGGAGCTATCGGATGACGTTCAATGTAACACGAGGGTTTGGTACCCTCGCCAATGCAGCTGGATTGGCCCCCGAGACGCGCTGCAGCTGTGATACACCGAAATCAGTTGGCAGCATATCTTCCTATCATCTGTTCTATGTCAGCGAAGATCATTGCACTCACGGACGGCGGGGTATTGCATTCATGGATATGGTCATACGCATATTACTGCTGTCTGCACTAGCCCTTGCTAGTCCCTCCGTACCTCCCACCTCCTCTCAACCGTAATAGCATGCTTCGAATCAGCCACCCTCTGCTCCCTGTCATGTTTGTAAACCGACGAAACGCGCACAATCTGACAACTCTTGACCGGCTGCAGTTCAATTTGCGACGAAGCATCATCATCGTCCACCAACTCCGAGAAAGTCGCCGTCGGATCGTCATGTATCTTGTTCCCTTTCTTCAAGAAGAGACTTGTCTTTCTGCTACTGTCGTAGTCGAACCTGGAGCGCGTGGCGTGGTTTGACTTCACGAACAAAGGGCGCATAAGAGGGATACATGCCGGAACGATGGCGACGGCGGGCTCGAGGCCGGAGAGGATCGTCGCAAGCACACCGGTGTATGTCATGTCGAAGAAGTCGAGACCCGGTAGCAGCGTTTGGCGGTATATGATGATGGCCCAGGTACTGCGCGACATGTCAGCATGAGTTCAGTACGACTACATGGGCGCAAGCGTGTACTCACCCTACCCCGATGCTGAGGAGCGCCATCGCAGCCAACTTCTTCCGCCACGCCATACGCAACTTGTACAGGTATGGCATTGGTAGTAAGATCATCACGGCGTCTGTGATAAGGTTGATGACACCCATTGCGAAGTAGAAGGTCGGCTGACCACCGCAAGTCCCGGGTAGTGCGAAGTTCCAGTTCTTCGCCAGTGGTCGGCATAACGCGAAAGCAGCGATGACGTCGGCGACGCTCCAGGCTATCACCGTAGCACCGAGAATACGGGCCCATCGTACCATGGATACCATTGGTATCAGTGCCGTGTACATTAACAGGACCGACAGTTTGCTGAAGCACACGGTCGCATTCCACAGTATTGCAAATGACATGATGCCCTATCGTAGAACACGTGAGAGCTTGCAAATACAAGAGATCAGTGACTAGTCTTACCTTGAAGAAGAATGTTGCCGTGTCAGGGCCAAACCGCTGATAGATTTCCGTGGTATGGAAGCCAAAGCCGCCATATGTAACGAGCAAAATGCAGCAAGCGTGCAGTGCGGTGTTGCATACCTGATGCATACGTTAACGCAGAATTGTTTCGCTTTCCAGGCTCGATGTACCAAGGCAGCAAGAATGCAATAGTCACTGTAATCAATCCGGTTCGCGATCCTTTTGGCTACAAGCCGCAGACCGACAGCGACAATGACCATCAAGATGGAGATGGAAGAAGTCACGAGGATGCCGACTTGTTGCCCGTTCTCGATGGGAATCATGTTGGCCATCGTGATAAATCCGCTTGGTGGAATTGTGGCGTGAAACTGTCCGAGGAGCGCATAGGCTTGAACAGGTACAGCCGGTTCTGACAATGGAGGATTGCCGATCAAAAGCTAACCACCATCCCACATCCATATGATTGGAGAAGCATGTGTACGCAGACCTGATATGGCAAACGCATTGATGGAAGTGCGTCCTAGCCACTAACAGGTATTGAACTCCTCAGAGCGGTTGAGATCACATTGGCCCGACAAGCATCTGTTGGAGACTGATAACTAACAGCAGTGAGCGGTGGCCCAAAGACCAATGAGAATGGGATCGCACTGCATCCTTGCAAATTGCCGTTTGCTGGTGCTTTCGTGGCGGCCTGACTCCGGGTGATGGCGGCAGCTGAAGAGAACCAGTGAACAGTGCGTTTGCACGCCTTGACTACAAGATAGTCATGCCGTGATTAAATTCTAGAGGGCGACGCGAGTCCGACATCTCAAGGTTGCTCCCCGCGACTATCAGACTCCTGCTGTCGTTTAGCCGGCGTAGCGTCTGCCCCGCGACGAAGGCTGTGACGGGGAACAATTCGCGACGCAACCTCTTTCCGTACAAAGGATCGTATACCTTGTGCATATCTACGTGAGGTTACGTTGGACTCGCCCCACACATAGCGTGCCCCCACCTGCTTTCCAGTAGCTGGTTGGATGCCGTGCCGCAACGCCAGGCTAGCGCGGATGCGGGCAAACCGCTTCGCCGATTTCGACTGCAAGCTTCCAGCCGGCGATACATCTTTGTCGAAATCTGTTATATATGTTGGCGGACGTCTAATCAGCCTGGATAGTCTGAAGACTCGTTATCAAAACGAGCGAAGAATGCTCACCGGACCTTGCACGGAGGTGACATAACCGCCAACGTGCAGGCCGTACGGCAATTCGATATCACTAGTCGCGCCAACTCCTGCAGCTGCCGAATCCTCCGGCCAACGGCTCGGAGAAATGATAGGAAAAAGCAATTGCTCCTTTATGAGGGACGCGGAGTAGCTGCTCTCGGTGCAGTGTGGAAAGTGCCGTGCCCCATTGCGGGACAAAGATGGGGACCAGGGACTATCGCGCATGCAAATAGCCAAAATCATATGCACGCATGGCCTTGCCTTGCTTGGTACATATGATGGCTCGTTCCTCTAAGATGCGCCGCAGGCTGTCCACCGGATACCGATCGTTAACAGCATGGGTTCCATTTCGCAGGATGAGCGCAAAGTCGCCATCATCACCGGTGGCACGGTTTGTCACATTGCGTTCCCGCAGCTGATCTGAGCTTGCTGACAATTCCCAACAGAGTGGGATTGGATCCTGGCTAGCATCCCGGTTACAGGCGAGAGGCTACCGTGTCGCAATTTGTGGTCGACGAGAAAACGAAGGCAAAGAAGTCGCTTCATCAATCGATGCGACAGGAGATTCAGTCATCTTTGTCCAATGCGACGTCAGCTCGTACGCCTCGCAAACCAACCTCTTCCGAACCACATGGAACAAATGGGGTCGCCTGGACGTTCTGATCGCGAATGCGGGTTTTCCTGATCGTGGTTCCGTGTTCAATCTCAACCGCCGCGATGCGCCCATCGACGACCTACCTCCTGAGCCAGATACAAGCTGTACAGACGTTGTTGTGAAAGGAAGGATGTACGGTACGACGCTGTCAACACACTACATGCGCCACAACCCAGGAGGCAAAGGCGGCAAGATCATCATCACAGGAAGCATGTTGGGCATATATCCATGCCACAGCTTTCCAGAGTATTGCTCGGCCGAGGCAGCGACAGCGATGTGGACGAAGACAACCGGGCCTGTTCTGCTGGCCAAAGACAACATTTCCATCAACTGTCTGATGCTCGGCCCGATCGAGACTCCAGTCATGCCTGGCTTCAGCAAAGCTTTTCATCCCGAACACATGATGCTGCAATCAACTCTCTTCGACGGTTACGATCTGTTCCTGGATGACGAAAAGAACCAGAAGACTGGGCAGGTTGTTGAGATAGCGCACGACCGATTGACGGAATGGGGACATCCTGGTTACAAAAATGGAGCTTTCTCGAAGCGTAGTGAGGCTGTCTTCGAGCCATGGTTTGCCATGGTGCACGGAGAAAAGAGCGGATTGCCAGGTACAATCCACGACTGGCCAAACCGGGGCAACAAGATCATCGCTGTGACAGGCGCGACAGGAAGCCAGGGTGGCGGAGTAGTAAACATCATGAAGAAAACGCCAGGCTGGTCAGTCAGGGCGATCACCCGAAATCCGGACAGCGATGCAGCAAAGAAACTCGCCACGGAGGGTATTGAGGTGGTAAAAGCCGATTTCGAAGATGAGGCATCGTTGCGAGCCGCTTTCGATGGCGCAAATGCCGTCTTTGCGGTCACAAATTGGTGGGAAGCGCTGTTTCGGGGCAAAAGCCAGCACGAATGTGGCGAGATCGAAGAGCGACATGGCATGAACCTCGCTCGGGCTGCCGCGGCCACGCGTTCCGTCGAACACTACATTTGGTCAACTTGCCCAAGCGCGAAGCGTCGGTTCTGGGGCAAGATGGAAGCGCCGCACATGGATTACAAGGCGAACGTGGACGCGCGCATCAAAGCCGAGTTGCCGCAACTTGCTGCCATCACGACTTACCTGTACTTCGGATATTATCCGCAGAACATGGCTTTCTTCCCACTCTGTAAGCCCTTCGAATACGTGAGTCTGAATAATCCCTCTTCATATGGGCGCATTGAACTGACATCTAATCCAGCCCGGCACCGGCAAATACATCCAAGCAATGCCCACGAAGCCCGACGCCAAAGTCCTTGTAGCCGGCGATATGACAGTCAACCCCGGCATCTGGGTCCGCCAAGTCCTTGCCACTGGCGGCAAGGCTTATGGTAGATACGCGAATGTCGCGCTCGAGAAGATGACATATCAGGAGATGGTCGATGTGTGGTCGAAAGTCACCGGCAAGAGCTGTGTCTTTGCTGAGCTCAGTATGGAGACGGCGGCCAAGCTTTACGGCGATGTGGGCAATGAACTAGCGCTCCAGTTCAAGTATGGCGAGGCTTGCGATCCTTGGGAGGTCACCGAGAAGTTTGTGAGCCCAGAGGAGCTGGGCATAGACGCTGGGGAGGTCGTCGGGTTCAGGAGCACGATCGAAGGCCTCCACGCAGCGGGGTCCTGGGCTTGATATCGAAGCCAGAGTCCCGGGATATCTCAGTAGCGTAATGCAGGCGTCCTGTTTCTAGTATCAAGAATTCGGTATATCAAACGGTGGATGCGACGGAGGCTTTCGGGTGCCAATGGGCTGCTCTAGGCATGCGTCAGCTTGGTCAGATATGGGGCTGGTGATGCGAAATACCTAGTTACGGTAGCCATTCAGTAGTGAACACGGCCCGCTGGTCATAAGATGACGCTTTCGTCGTAGAAGTTGAGAAATCGGGGTGTCGCGTCTGGGGCAGCGGCAGCTATGTAGAGGAGAGGAGGCTGGAGAACCTCGACCGTTCGTGGGACGATAGCCTAAGCGGGTTCATCATGGCTGGAAGTCGTTGCGTACGTCAGTTTGCGAGCTAATGGCACGAGCGACGCATGTGGCCGTGTTAAGGTATGGTGGTATGGTGTCCAGCGTTGGTTGCACTGGCGGCGAGCCATGTCCGGATTCCCGTTCCCGCGACCCGCCAATGCCGCCACGTGCCTACCCGTAAAACACGCGACGCGCAAGCACGTGCGACCACTATATCGCCACAAGTTGGCAACCACGCGCGAACCTGCTTCTAGAAGTCGTCTCGCCTAATGGAATCTCCTCCGGAACTAGGATAACTAACGTATCTATCAGGTGCCATAGTGTTGCGCCTGCCGCACGAGGTTTGATCTCTTCACGGCATGAACATTTTAGAAATGATCACAGCCCGCACAACTTCATCACTAGCAATGTTACGACGAAAGGGTCTCTTCGAGATGACGCGCTTCCAATAGATTGATAATGACAGTAGATATCGGTGTTGGTTGAACCTGGAGAGCCATCCTTCAGGTCGCATCAAAGCGCATCTGCATGTACAATGGGTGGCTCGTGCGGACCCTGCTTACGACATTCCTCAGGTGCCTGCCAGCATACTGGAGCTGCCCAAGTCTTCCTATCCACGACAGTATCCTTCGGGGCGCCTGGCGCGCGTGAGATGTCAGAGGAGCTAGAAGACTCCGCATCCGTCAACTGCACATCCTTCTTTGCCTGTAGCTCGACCTGCGCATCGACATCGTCTTCATTGTCGAACCAGGACGGCGGGTCGAGCAATCGAGGAAGCTTAGCCGGCGCCTTCTTGTTCCCTTTCTCTAATTGTGCTCCTGCGTTGAGGTTGTCGCCATGGTTCGGCGGACTGCGAGCCTTGCTTCTTGAAAAGAGAGGACGCATGAGCGGTATGCAAGCCACAACGATCATGACTGCGCACTCAAGGCCACCAAGGAACATGGCGATGGCCATGTCCGAGTATCGATTGACCTTTCGCCAATTTAGACCCCACAAGCACTTCTGGCGATAGATGGTAATGGCCCAGGTTCTAGGGTTCGTGTTAGCATGTTGCAGGCGATGAAGTCTGTCTGTTATACGTACACTATACCCATCCCTAGCAAGACAATAGCAACGATCTTCTTACGCCATGACGTCCGTAGGCGGATCAGATACGGCATCGGAAGTGCGATGATGATCGTATCGATGATCAGATTCAGTAAGCCCATGATGAAATAGAACAGAGTCTGGTTAGGGCATTTGTCTGCGTTGATCCATGCCATGTTGAACGGTCTGCAAATCGACAATACCGCAATCAGATCTGCCACTGTCCACACGACGATGGTCGCGCCGAAATAGCGACATATTACGCGCATGGATGCGTTGGGTATGATCGAAGTGTACATGAGCAGGACTGAGAGCTTGGACAGGCAGGCAGTGACATGCCAAGTACACACTGCGACTAATGTGCCTTTGGAGAGGATGCGCATATTGAGGATACCAAAACGCTGTAGGAGGGTTGGGAGTTCGAGGCCATAGCCTGCGTGGAAGACGAGGTATAAGTGGTTGCAGTTTGTTGCTAGGTTGAACACCTGTCGGGTCACGTCAGCGCCTCTCTTCTACACAATGTATCTCGAATCGACGTGGTCTATACGATGCGTCCAGATGCAGTATGAAGATGAAGGGTGAGGATGTAGTACTAAAGCTGCTATGATGCAGTAGTCGCTGGCGTCGATTCGTTTACGGATGTATTTGGCCATGAGACGTAAGATGACCGCGATGGTAGACAAAGCGATCGAGCTGACTGATAAAGCGATTGTCCAGACCTGCAGTCCAGTTTCGATTGTGAAAGCCATACTGAGCGAAAAAGCGCCTTGCGAATGACAAAAGTTCAACGGTAGATAGAGAATGCGAAAAGACCGCTTCCTCGAGTCATGACGGGGGCTTCAAATACAGACGTTGCAAGCTCGACAACATTACAATGACGATTGTCTACCTCTACTCCTTTCCAACGGACGCAAGCCACTCGAATCTTCCGAACGGTGAGCACTCGTCCCTTTCAAAGGGAGGACATCCGAAGAGTTCACTCGGTCTCGGCATTGAAATTCTCGAAAGGGATCTCTGTATACTGCAAAGTTCATGCTTAGTGTATCATGCAACAGTGGTCCAATCGAGAACGGATGCATAACGTAGATGCAGTCAGACATGCGAGTGGTCCATGAGAAGCTCCGAGGAGCTCACTCGATCTCGGCGTTGGGGTTTCCCAAAGGGATCTCCGTACACTGTAAAGATCATGTTGGTGTATCATGCAGCGATGGCCAAATCGAAAACGACTGCATCATGTAGATGCAGAGTGGTCCGTAGGAAGATCGAGGTATGTTATGGCGGGCCGCGGGAGTAGTTCGTGATCGGAACGGACCTGGCCACCGGGAAGATCGGATCAGAGGCTACCTAGGTACCCACAGGACATGCAACTTCAAAGAAACGACTAGCTGTCGCATCTGAACTACATAACAAATGCGCAACACTATGTGCGCATAAGGTGTGCGATTAACATCCTGTTAGGCTCTGAGAGCAGCGCATGCTGGATATTCAGGAGGGCAGTGAAGAGGGGCGCGTAGGCGGGACGGCTGCTGGCGACACTGTCATGTGGAGCCCCGCTTTTAGAAGCAACGCTTTACCAGACCAGGACTAGTGCAGCGGTAAACGGTCAACTCTCACACCTCCAACACGTCGCATGCCTCAGCCCAGAACAACAACCAATATCTCCAACTCACCTATCAGCTTATTGTTCCCATCCCATGCATTGAATGCCGCCCCCGAATAGCGGTGTCATTTCACCGTTGATGATCATCTTCCTCATCGGAAAAAAGAGGTCGAACTGCCCCAACCCCAGCCATGCCAGCGCACGATCTGCTCGGGCTGCCATTGGTGTTATTTTATGATCGTAGAAATAGTAAGCGCCCTTATAGTTTGGCCGAGCATGCAATCGACTAAAGCCGGCATAGCTTCACGACGACGATGCGAAATCGCTGTATTCACTGCGATGTGTGTCCAGAGTATGCCGCGACGAATCCGACATGTTACTCTTTCGTAGCATCCGTCTAAAAGACCATTTAGATCTCGTCGAGCTTGAATCTGGCATAACCCTCGACCTGTACATGGATGAAGCTATTGTTGTCCAGGAAGATTTCAGGTTGCAGAAAGTAACTAAGAACCTGCTGCAATGTATACGGGATAAGAATAGATCTATCGCGAGACATGTCAGACATCTGGAGATCGGCGCATTCTATCAGGGCTTCTTCGATGAGGCGCTCGCGCCTGTTCTGGAGGATGTGTTGACGATGACGACTGGCCTGCAGTCTTTCAGGTAGGGCTGAACCCTTGGTGATATACTCGTATACTAACTTGGTACAGCTGGGGCACGATCATACCTATACCAGAGGGTGCCCTTCACCTGTTTCACACGATGCATCCCACGGCTCGCCTGCACGTGACGAATCTCGAACGGGAAGGGAAGCCTCTGGATCGACGTCTACTCTCGTCAACACAGCTACACTCCCTCCGGTTGTGCGTTTACTACGATGAACCAGACCAAAACCTTCACCTAGAGGGTTGTCGCAGCGAGCTCCAAATTCTGAAAGGTTACTTGATGCTCGGCAATAGCATCAAGAAACTTGATCTGAGCTTCGAAGACGCTAAGCTTACGATACATGATAAAGCGCTCGTTGGTCTCAAAGACTGCGCGCATGGCCCTTTGAACTTCCATTGGCAAAAAGGAGATCGATTTCCCACGCTTGAGGAGTGGGTTGTGGGCGAGAGTTACGCAGACTATGCCTACACCGCGCAACACATGGACCTGTGGCATCGATGCATGGATTGGTCCCTGCTCCGCGTACTTGATCTTGGCCGTTTGAACATGTATCCTTCATCTATGCTGCCGATAATATCGTTGACTGGCCATGTCCCGCGGCTTGAGTCTTTGAGTCTCGCCGTCTTCAACTACAACGAACACGATAAGAAAGATGCAAAACGTTCACTGTCAATATTGGAAGAGTTTCTGCGAAATGTTCTGGCACTCATAAGATTGCGCCTAGAATGGGACGGCATCCCGGACTGTCTACCAATAATATTACAACATCAAGGCTCGACGCTGCGTGAATTGGGCTTGGAAGACCGTGGCGATACAGCTCCCTGGAGCCACCAGCTCTTTCTCGACATACTGAGCAAGGCGCCGCAACTGTGCCATCTAGACGTAGAGACGTCGAATCAACACTCTGAGTTCGAACTAGAAGGGAGGTGGTCTGGTAAAGCTATCAATTCATCGCCATCTGAGAAGTTTAAGAACATGGAGCATATGCACATGAGCTTTCAGCTCAACAAAGCAAAAGCAGAAGTCGCTGTTCTGAAACGCTTGGACATGCCATACGTACTAAGGCGAGCTGAAAGATACGAATTGAACGCCACAGGAGTCACTTGGATACGAGAATCACCGTAGACAGGTCATATTCGTGTTATGTCTTCGATTCCAGGTTCGATTGTCCTGTTTCAACAAAGACCTTTCGCGTACCTAGTGAAAGGTCAGACCGCTCTATTTGGTCAATAGGGTGTACCCTTCTCGCTGATAGACAAGCTTATACAATTTACCAATCCGCAAATTCTTCGTCCTCGAAGAAGTCTCGGTGCCTGAATCGGGCGCAGTCGCGATTATACAACACGATATATCATCGTAATGCGGCTGCATTCTGTGAAAACCTTGTGCTCGCTGTAGGTACCCATGAATTCCCTTAGTATATCCCAGATATCAGCAACAATCATGAAACCATGCACCCAAGAAAGGCCACAACGAATCTCCATGTCAAATCACAGGTAGCGGAACGAGACAAGACCTTTGCCATGTAACTCGAAGATCCGCAGATCCAAGGATCTTTCGACTTCCCGTATCATGTCGATGGCGTCTAACAAATTATAGCCTTGAAGAGACAGCTGTTCGATCAGCGGACACCATGTGTCCTTAAGCTGTAGCATATCACGAAGGCAGTCTTCACTCAAGTCGACGTCGAAATGGCAATCCTGCAACTTGAGACATTTCAACGACTCCGGTAGGTGGCAAAGTTTGGTAAGTTTGCCGAATTGCATCGTTATGTGCGACAACATCTCGAAATCGCGGAACGAGGGGTACACGTAGTGGAATGAGTCTTCGCCGTGCTGTTCCATGTCTTCTTGAAACTCCGCACTGCGCGTATCGTAACAGATGTTGTAATGTAATTCCAACGTCTTTAGAGTCGCCTTCTGCTTTTCCAGTAGCGCAATCCCTAGATCTCGTGGACTGACGAGGGGTTCGCTCCCTATGTCGTCTGGCAACATACCCCCATAACGCCTGTCATCTGGAATGACAAATCTGAACGTTTCCAATCGAGGACATGCGTCTAGAGCTTGTCGCATTGTAGCGAGTGGCCCAAGACTCCACCATAACTCAATCGCCGATGGTGTGAGTAAATTTGTGGCAGGATGAACATCATTACCGTCCGATATCTCGATCTCAGTAGAGAATGAACTGAACGATGGGTATCGCAGGAGCGGGATGTAGTCAACTATGTTGATTAGTTGATTGTCGAAATGCTTGTGCCTGCACCATGTTGAGCGAGAGCGACATGCGTACGAATCAGTGAGACCTACAAATGGAACGTCTCCAACTTCGCGAGAAACGCGTCACTCGAAGCTCTCATCGCATGCATCCCTTGCAGCAGTCCGCGAGGAGGCAGATTGTGTGTATCCATACGAAGATGCCGTAAATTGGGCAGACAAAGAAGTGTGCATAACACAAGCGTCTGATACAACATGCTCCGTTCGCTATCGAGATTCTGAGTTTCGAATAAAGCCAATAATTTGTCGAAAGTGGGACGGCGCATAAGGTCAGGTCCTTTGTACGGGGCTGGTCGATGGTAATGTAAAGTGAGCGATCGCGTCTTCTTTCCGAGCTTGGGGCGTTCGACACAGGTCCGCAAGAAGAGCTCAAGAGATCTCATGGTCTCGGGCATCGACTGTCCTAGTACCACGCAAGTGTAGAGCGCGGGTTGCGCAACAGCTGCCAGCGCGCGGGATGTTTTGCATAATTGCCATAGTGCTCTGACATCTGAGCAACGGCCTGTTGCGAGATGTGCGACGATGGAATAGAGCAGTTCGTTGGATAGATCAGTGAGCTTTGCCATGGTTTGATGCGGAGTGACCGCGGAGGTGTCGCAAGCCAGGTGCACGATACCAGGCAGCAACATTAGTAAGCGACGCTAGCTTCGCGGGGCCATCTTTCGGCAAATTGGCATCCCGACCGGTGGCCACAACCTTCACCTTCACCAACAATCAAGCTCACGGTATCAGTCACGCCAAAGAAGCTTCTCAGTGGTATAACAGAAATGAATTCAGAAATGACAAAAGAAATCTAACAAATCACGGGCCCTCCTTCCATTATCCCTCCCAACCAGTCCTAGCTCGCCAATGCAGACAGTCTACATCATGGCGCAAGGAGGGCACCGCTTCTTGCCGCACCTCTTCTTGTTCTCCTTGTGCTGGGTCCGCTTCATCGACTAGATGATGGTTAGCACATACCATGTCAAGCCCATTCAAAGTGTGACTTACAGCGACCTTCATGTCCTCGAGGAGCTTGGCCTCCCAAGCCTCGTCCGTCTCCACAATGACTGTGGTAGCGTCAGTGCTGTCCTCGGTGACAGCGGTGGTAGCGGCGGCAGCGGTGGGGGTTGCCTCGGAAGGCTCATCGGCCACGGTGACCATGGGGACGGGGAACCCGCTGGGTGGCAGGATGACGGAGGTGGACCAGGCAGTGACCTCGGGCCAGGTAGGCTCGTCGGCCACGGTGACCTGGGGGATAGGCATCCCGCTGGGAGGCAGGATGACGGAGGTATATGTAAAACCTGCCGGGGTGGTCTGAGAAGGAACCAGGCGTGTTAGTCCATACTTCTTGAAACAGTTGTAAAATGAATTGCTTACGGGTGTGGTGAGAGCAGGCATTTTGCTTCGATTTTTTGAATTTGAGATACTTTGTTGTAGAAGTCTTGGGATGAAGATGGAATATTGTAAGTAGTTGGCAGGAATGAAGAGGTTTATATAGACATACTTCCACTTTCTGCTGCGGTAGCGCACGGAACTATGTTGGTGGTGTGTGTGGGCACAAATTGCAGAACTCTCTTCGCTACCCTTGAAATGTGGTCTCACCCAACCACTTAGATCTATTGCACCCACAATGCGTACCAAAGCTCTTAAAATTGGAAGCATGTAGAAAAGGATACCCCGTAGCCGTCCAATATCGTATCTGATATCTCATGCCAGGCTGGCGGCGACAATGGTCTCCCTTACCTCCCAGAGTACCCGCATCTCCACAGCTGAGGAATACAACCCGCGCGACCAGCGCAATCATGCCGCCCAAGGCCACTCGTGGAGCATACCATAGGTGTGAGAAGAGGACGGAAGATTTGGGATACGAGCGTTTGCCAACTACCCAATGATGTTCGTGATATGTGAAGCCAGATTGGTAGCGACCGTAGTTCCCAACACCTCGCAAAAAGCCCGCACCTCGACACCTCGAAACCCATAACCAGTCTGACTATCGCGGATACACGCCGAAGACTTCCCCATCTAGCATACCATAGTTGCACGCGTCCCTTACAAAGCACTCACCACACCCATCTGCAACACCCTCACTGCGACTGGCTCCCATAGCCACTGCACTAGCCTGCCCCATACAGTACCATCCTACCATAGCACCTTCCCTCCCCACTCACTCATCCCCACACTCCCCAACATCCCCAAACCGCGCACCTTCGTCGCTTCCAAATTGGGCAAAGTAGCTTAGCGCCTCCCATAAACCTTCCCGTGTATATCATCTTACTTTCCACTTCCCTCCTCCATCCTTCCTTCACGTCACTTCACACAACGCAAGCTCACACAAGTACTGCAAGCTACCTTCCCCAAACCAACTCACCAAGACTACAACGCACCTACCCTACCCAACCCAAGCAACGACCCAAACCCAACCACACCCACCAAACCACAAAAATGCACACCCCAACCATCCTCCTCATCGCGGCCGCCGCCAGCGCCGCCGTCGCCGCGCCCGTCACCACCATCAAGCCTACCGACTCAACCAACCCTACCAGCAAGATCAACCAGAACGCCCCCGTCGCCGCCGCACTTGCCTCCGCCGGCATGGTCGACACCGAAGGCCACTGCATGCACCCTCTGCACGACGGCCTCGCGTACCCACCGCGTGCCGCCCTCTATGCTGCTGACACCGCCGCCGTTGACGCCGTCGCTCTTGACGCCGCCGCTGTTGACGCCGCCGCCGCCTCTGTCGTCGCTGGCCACGTAGACGAGGAAGAGACACAAGAGCAGTACAACAAGAAGCTCGTCAAGATGGACAAGGCTCGTGAGCACGGTGTTGTTTGCACTGTTTTGTAGAGTTCACCTTTACAGTAAGTACTCCATATGCAAGATTCTGGGATAATCCAAGCTAACACGCTGGCAGTCTGGCGCATCTACATGACGAATGGCAAGTTACAAGAAGAAAGGTGATTTACACGAGAGACTGGGAGAATGGTTCGGAATACATGGCAAAACATGGCGTTAGGCGCACCGTAGTGACGTTAATCGCGATCACGGATACGAACACGAACACTATTGGTCTCTTATAGGCTTTTCATCATGTCAATCTGATGCAACATTACAAACAGTCTACAGTATCATGCCGTTGTGAAACTTTATGTCTCTACTAACGCCCCTGCTTATACGTGATCTCACACCGATGCGCCTTCGGTGCGATGAGGAAGAAGTTCTAATCACCAGGTATTAGCTTACATATCACACACACACACCCACAAACGCATGCATGAACTTACCTCAAACTCCATGCTCTCAGGCGTCGTGCTGGGCGCCAAACGAATACCACGGCACTCGCGGAAGAAGAACGCAGTCGCATATCTTAGTTCCATGCGCGCGAGATGGATACCGATACACGAGCGCGCGCCAGCGCCGAAGGGATGGAAAGCGAGTTTCGCCTCGGGCGATTGCGCTTCAGGCACCATTTCCTTGTCGGCGATCCAGCGCTGTGGGTTGAAACTAGTCGGGGTAAGCTTGAATTGCGACAGAAGTGCAAAGGCACGACTTACGTCAGAGGGTCGCTCCAGATCTTGGGGTCGCGATGCAAAGTATACGCTTGCGTGTCGACCGTGACGCCTTGTGGGATGTAGTGACCCGCGAACTTTGTACCACCTTGCGGTACCACTCTCGGCAGACTACTTGGCGCCGCACCGTAGAGTCTTAGCGTCTCTTCGATAACTGCGTTGAGCAGCGGAAGTTTGATGAGATCGTTTTCGGTAAAGTCATGCGCCAGCGCCGCGGTCTCCGCCTCGAGCGCCGCTTGCAGCTCCGGTCGTTGGAGCACCGCCCATGTGAGGTACGTCAGGGTCACTCCCGTGGTATCGGTACCTGCAATGATGACGTTCATGGCTTCGATTCTGACGTCCATGTCGTCAATGTGGCCTTCTCCTTCCTTCTCGCAGTCCTCGATGACCTTTGCGAAGATGTTGTTTTCGCCGGTGCGTGAGCGTGCGGTTTCGACGGCTTTGCCTGCGCCGGCGAGGATGAACTCGTTTGCGTTGAACATTTCTTGGATTGCTGGGACTGGGACGAAGCGCAGGAGGCGGAGGAATGGCATCTCGACCATGATGCCCGCTCCCATTGTCAGCTTCTTCAGCACGCGCATGAATTGGTTTTGCTGCGACAGGTCAGCTCTGGTGTGATATACGTAGTCGCATCTTCATACCTCTCCTGATTCCAGCATGTTGAATGAGTCGCCAAATGCGAGGTGAGCGCTAACGTCCGAGGCAAGAAGCATCCACCAGTTGTACACGTCGGCTGTCGCTTGCGTAGCATCCGCCTTGATCTTTGTAACAGCCATGAGCGCCTTGTCCCTGACGACAGACTCCCAATGCTCAACAAGGTATGTCCTGCTGAAAGATCTAGACAACAGCTTCCTCCGCGGCCCATGCTCACGTGGGTCAAGCATGGTGAACACACCGGCCTTGGGGAAGTTCGCAAGGCGGAGGTACCATTCGCTCTTCATGTACTTGGTGCCAATCTTGTGAATCTCTTTGAAGGCATCCAAGTCTGCAACGGCAACCTCATTAGGCGATAGTCGTACAATGGGTCCATATTGCTCGTGGAGGGAGTCGATGTAGAAGATGCGCTGCCCTGTTACGACTGCGCGCTTCAAGCGATAATGTGTGAATCGAGTATACCAAGGGCCTGGCAAATGCTTCGTCCGACAGGTAAGACCAACGTAGAGAAACTGTGCTCGTTAGTGCTGGGTTGCGGAAGTGATGTCTTCGCTGCACTACCTTTGCTACTAGCAGACCGATTGCCAGCAAGAATGCGTAGGCGAAGGAAGCCATGTTGCGATGTAGTCGCTCGGACCAGAGACAATAAAGCTGATGTAGTTGCAGTACGAGCAGTTGAAGCTTAGGAGTGCTATCAGTCGACCGAGGGCTCAGTGCAGATATGCTGTCGGCACGGTACTTAAACCAATGCTACGGATCTATACAAGTGAAAATGACCTGCTTGCACACGAAAGACGTGCTCTTATCCATCTTCATTTCTTCTTTCGCTAGACCAAACAGGATCAGCAGGCATCGTGTACCATTGCTTTTGCGTACACCGGTCTACGGTCAACTGGGGACCCGACAAAGATAGCTAACGGTCCCTGTAGTTCTCCGACCATCGTCGCGCAACTCTGTTGTGGCATTGCATGGGGGCACGCGAGCGGCTGTCAGAGCGAAGCAGGCGAATGACAGACGCAGGGCGCTCCTCCGCATCAAGATCTCCAGATGAAACCTTGCCGAATCGAGTATAACGTAGATTGACCGCGCCGAAACCCGCATGGTGCTCGCAGGTAGATGGAGGGTATACCCAGGGCGCTCGTGTGAGGCGTGGGACGTTCTGGCAATGGCCCCGACAGACGATCGCAATGCCTCGACGCGAACTTCCGTTGCTATCTCTATCCGTTCAAGGTCGGGTTCGGTTGTTGTTGATGTGCTCAATGTGGGCAAAAGTCGCACCCCGCGGAAGCCGAAGCCAGCAAAGGTAGTCCCAATCCGATAGTTCATAGGATTCGCACCAGGTGTCTGATTTGGGTTGTTCAACTTGTAATTTAATAGGTGTTCTTAGTGTAGTAGCAAAGGCAGCTATACTATAAGTGCGAATCCTATAATGCTATAGTTGCCTATTTCTAGAGTATAAAATTCTGCGTAAGTAGCACTTAAATTCCTTTATAACACTCTAAATATTATCTTTATTATAAAAAAATATATAGCTAATTTATATACTTACTAACGCTAGCAACTTTACGCATAAAAAATATAAATTAGCTACCTTATTTTAGAATTTAGTCTAGTAGCAAAATAAAACACCTAAGTATATTACTACTTATTATAACGCTAGTAAGCTTAATTAAAGAGAATACTAATAGAAAATAGAAGCTCTAATTTATAAGTAAGCTAGAGCTAAGTCTCTCTTTATATATTCTATAGCAACTACGCTAGTAAAAGTTTATATTTTTGCAAAGTAGAAATATAAAGCTCTTACTTACCTCTACAACTTTATAATTAGCGCTTTTAATACTAGCGTAATAATTCTCTTAATTTACCTTTAACTAAAAGCACTAAGCAACTCTAGCTAGAGAAAGTATAATAATACTATAAAGAAGATCTTGCTAGAATTATAACTAGAGCTGTAGAGGCAGAGAATACTTTTTTATAATAGAGAATAATTAGTTTATAATAGTAGTAGAGATACTCTAGAACTAGACAAACAATTAGTGCAATCCTGATGCCTAACACTGTACTGTGATGCCAGACACCGGGGGCTAGGATTCGCAGAGTGCGTCTGGCCTGCTACCCAATCTCCGCAATGCGGGGATAGTGTAGATAATCAAATGTGGAGGCTAGATAGAGGTTAGCAGAAGCGCTAGAGGCACATCACCGCCATGATCGCCGTTGGCTTACCGCAAGCTTCGAGTCAACGTCGCACCCCACCTCATACCGAACTCTACACAAAGCCATACCCTTGTACCCCGCCAGCTCGTATACAGGATAGCGTTGCTGAAGCAAGTATCTCCGGGCGCTGCATAGTCGGAACAAGAGGCGCGTGCCGATGAGATCCACGCGAACGCAGCCGGGAATCAAGGGAACCGTGGCCGGGTTGGGTGTTGCGGTGCGGCTTGCTTCTGTGGCTTCGTTGGGATGATCGGGTACTGAAGACGCGGAAGGTGGTCGGAACTTCGAAGGCGCGAACGCAAAGCTGTTGACTCAATCGCGACGAGAGCCCTGGACAACAGCATGATGTTCGCATCTTGCCAATACAAAGCATCGCAAAGACGTTCATGATACCTCTTACTGAATGCTCCCCAGAAGCGGGCTACTTCGTGCTGGGAAGATGCCTCGTATCCGGCTGAGCTTCTGCACACTCCACTAGGCGTACCGGCTTCCCAGCAGACAGGCAAACACCAGGTACGATAGCGTCGCTGAAAGGTCTAGCCGCGAACAAAGTCAGCCCAGGCCGTCATTGTGACAGGTCGTTGATTACATATGGCGGCGCATGCTGGCTGTCGCGATGCGTTGTGTTGACCCCGCGCAGTCGGCCAGCCATGCGCGCAAATCCCGATTGTTGTGGCTGAACGCATGAGTCCTGCGACCGAGGACTTCCGGACCGCAATTGTTGCTGCAAATGGGGTATCCGGTATTGACTGCGGATGTGACAAGCGACGGGCCGATGGAAATGCTGAATGTGAGATGGACGAAGGTGGTTGAATTCGGGGAGCACATGTATCACCACGGAAGGAGGTCGTGACGTCAACCGTTATTTGTCGCCGGAGCGGGTGTTGCCCGTCGCCATGCAGCTGGGTATAGCTTGGATGATGCTAAGCATTACTTGGGGTATATCGTACCACCGTTGACATATCGTCTTGCTGCAGGTGTATGTCACGTACTATGGTGCGCGACTGCCCAGGTGGCTCCTGCAGGTGCTTGCTACGGTAGCCGTGAAGGCTGTCTCTACAGTGCTGCACGCGGCGGAACCGTCAATAGCTATTCCGCACCCAGTCAATGGAAATGCCACAAATCGCCATGACACATGTTGACGATCCCTGTTCATCGCCTCAAACCCGCATCTGCGGATGGCACTCCAAGTGGTATGCAGTTACGTGCTCACACAAAGGAGAAGGGTATTAGAAATTAGTGTTGGTGTAACGAAGCCGGACTTTGGCTCACATGCGCCGGGAGAACGAGCAGTCTATCAGTCCCTCGCGCTTTTCAACCAGTTCTTTACTCGCTGCCCACCAAAGAATACAGCAATGCAGCATCGATCTTCCCACCAAATTCCAGATCCCATCAATACCTACCCGAGCATCAACTTTCCTTCCCGAAGGATATGCCCATGCCACCTCCAACAACTCTTACACGTCACTTCCAAACACGGCTGCTCATATGTAATCCCATTCTGCCACTTTCCCTTCCTTTGTCTCTTTGGTCCGCCGTAATGGAAGCGGTATAGCTTTACTTTGCAAGACTTCACACCATTTCCTGCGTCTTTCGTATACCTGCGCTTTGCTTCGCGGATCTTGTTGGACGGGGGTAATAATAGACATCGTAACTTCAGAGTCAGCTTTCGTGGTAGGTTCTTTGTTGTGTGTAGCGGGGTTGGCGGATGGTAGGCGTTCCATATGTGTGCCGGTATTCTGATTCTCAGCCGCGTTTTGTCTGGAGGGCTGTCATGCTCGGGCAGTACGTCGGGTTGGTACTCATTCCATATGCGCTTTGGTATCTTGATCTTTAGGCCCATCATGTCTGTAATCAGATCGGCTACTGCGACCCTCTCACCGGGACGTCGGTTCGCTGGGCACATCCTTTGCGCTGTCGAACTTGCTGTTTCCTCCATTTTCGTGATGCGACAACAAGTAGATTGCCAGCTAAGCAGTTTGTCAGAGTATTTGTCGGTCGTTAACAGCTTGCACATGTGCGGCAAGCCAGAGATCAATGACAGCAGGGCTGCCGGAACAAAGGTGTTTCAGATCGTTGAGATGAATGCCATTGTCTTGCCCATGACCAGGTGTCTTTCTCTAATGATTTCCCGCGTAAATGCTCATGATGCGATGCTGAATGCTAGAAAATAGGATCAAAGTCGCGTGAGAACAATCGTCTACTCGTGACACTGGTCCCAAAGACCACCACTCCTCGCAAAGCTCTGGCTCTCCACAAATTTACTCAACGTACACCTTCCGAACTTGTCGCCGCCGCAAAACTCCAATGGGTGTACGCGGTCGTTCACAATGACACGGACCGACTCTTCCTTCGCATGCCTGCACTGCAGCTTCTCAACGTAGAGACGGGCGGCGAAAGGCACGCTCCACGCTGCTGAGTAGCCATGCGTCTTCTTTGTATCCTCAATTGTGGTGTTCGACAGCGGCTTCGTCTTGTTGTAAAGCCCGAGCGCAGCCAAAACACCGCTGATGTCGTTGTCGTGGCTGAAGTCGGCGTACACCTTGCGGTCGAGCGGGAACGTCTTGGGGTCGGAGTCGAGCGTGCGGTTCGTGTTGGTGCTGTCCTCGACAGGCTTGTTAGTCAGACGCGCCAACAGCTCGTTGACGTAGCCGACGCCCTGCGTGGGACCGAGCGGGTTGCCGACGCTGTATCCGTAGTACTTGCCCAGCGTCTGGAAGTAGTCATACTCGCGCCATTCCTTCACCTTGAAGATCTTGCAGAAGTCGGACAGCTTTGCAGACGGGTGTGCTAATGTGTCGAATGGACACATATCCATCAGGTAGATTATAGACGTCGCGCTGAGGTTCGTTCCGAGAGCTGAGTTGATGCGTTCTTGGATGGGTGGCACGAACTTGTCGGCCCAGACCTGCTGCGCCCTGAGTCCGAGACCGTGGTGTGGGCCGCCCTCGAAGGCGGGACAGACGTCGTGGGAGAGGGTGTTGTTCCATGTCGGGCCTTCTGGGATCACCACGTCGATGTTTCGCGGCTCCTCTTTCAGCGACTGCGCAACGCCCATAAGCCACTTCTCCGCAGATTCGACCACGCGATGCTGGCCTCCTGATCGCACGAACGGCACGTTCCCGTCGATCAGCTTCTGGTACCGTTGGTAGAAGTGCGCCCCAGAGTTGACCATCTCCTGCCTTCCAGCATCTGTCAACTCATCCGCACCCAGGGTGTAGTCATAATCCTTCAGGAACTCGAATTCCTTCGGGTACGATGTAGTCGTGTTCTGTATTTCGGCTAGGAGAATGTGGTACGCGATGGATTTACCCAGCGTTGGGTCGCGACCGCCGTGGCGGGAGAGGACGTTCGCAAAGGTGACTTCGCAGCCCTTGGGAGGAGCTATGTCGATGTCTGAGGGGACCGAATACCAAAGCGAGTATTGCCCCCAGAAGTGCGATTTCTTCGGACTGCATCGGTAGCCTTCGTCGATGGTGTCGCACGACTTCTTGGGACGAGAGAAAGTGAAGAGACTGGCGGTTGTCAGCTTTGCGTGCTCCAGCATATTGGTGCTTCATACCCATGGACACAATACAGGACTACGCATGCGCCAACCACAAGAAGGACCCGACGTCCAAAGCCCTTCGGTCGCTGTTCGCGTCGAGATCTGTTTGAAAGCGGCTCCTTCTCGCTCATTGGGAGCGGAGCGTAGTCTTGCGAGCGATTGTTGCGCATCCTGTTCCACGCCTGCGTCATCTAATGGATGGTTTGGTGACGATAAAAGATGCGAGTGGCATTGACGCGCTGCGACTTCGGCACTAGATGTTGAGAATCGAGCGTCAATAAGTGACGTATGGCCATCATGGTGTTTCGGCAGAAGCCGTGACCGCCAAGCCGACGCCCGGGCCCCATCCTCAAACTCCGCCAGCACTCTTCAATGCCTTTGCCTTTCACTCGCTGTCATCTGATCTCGTCACATATCTCCAAGCCCATCTCCAAGAACACGCTCTTGACGCGCAATCTCCGGCTAGATACGGTCGCGTCCGCTTGCCGACACCAGTTAGGCCTGTGTGCAATTGCGCGATGTAACCCCGTTCCGTCAGCGCGAGATAGTCGTCGCTATGGCGCCTGATTGGCTTCTACCCCATGTTTTGGCCCCTGTGGACACCACCACCGGGCCTCTTATCTGTGGATGAACCACAAGTAAGCATTGACAAGCTTCCACTGACCTGGTCGCCATGCCTGTTCGGTGCAGCCGACGTCAATGGCCGCATGGCTAAGAGCACGGCTTCGCGCATCCTTCCGGATCGCATCTTCACGTCCATGTGTTTATAGAGAGTGTCTGCCCCATCATAATCTTCCGGTCGTTGGTATCACGTCGCGCGGACCCGGTAGACGCCTGCATACGCCATCATGAAACCCGCTGAACGGCACACGCTGGACGATGAAGCCCAGTTGCAGGCTCTCGGACACAAGGGCGAGTTGAAGCGCAACTTCAGTCTCTTGTCTATGCTTGGACTCGCTTTCGCCATCTTGAACTCGTGGACCGCGCTTTCGTCATCAATCGGACTGGCATTACCATCTGGTGGCTCTACAAGCGTCATCTGGGGACTTGTAACCGCCGGCATCTGTAACCTGTGTCTGGCCGCATCGCTGGCCGAGTTTCTGTCGGCGTATCCTACTGCTGGTGGGCAGTAAGTACCTTCAGTCGGCTTTCGCATCGTCAACTCACGCATCGCAGATACCATTGGGTCGCCGTTATTACCCCGCGGAAATGGGTTCCTCTCGCCTCTTTCATCACCGGCTGGATCAACGTATCCGGATGGCTCGCTTTGACTACCTCCGGAGGCCTCCTCGCGTCCCAACTGATTTCCGGTCTCATCGCGTTGTTCCATCCTGAATTCACGCTGCACGCATGGCAGGTCTGGCTGATTTACGTCGCTTGGACTCTCATCGCCTTCGTCATCAATGCGTTCATGAACAACCTCCTCCCCTACGTTAATCGAGGCGCATTCATATGGTCCATCGGCGGGTTCGCGATCGTCTGCATCACAGCCCTGGCATGTTCGTCTCCTAACTACGCTTCCGCCGAGTTCGTCTTCACCGAGTTCATCAATGAGACGGGCTGGCCTGATGGTGTCGCTTGGCTCTTGGGCTTGCTTCAGGGCGGCTTTGGACTCACCGGCTACGATGCTGTCGCGCATATGATTGAAGAGATTCCGAATGCGTCAGTCGAGGGCCCAAAGATCATGATCTACTGTGTCTGTATCGGAACTGTCACCGGCTTCATCTTCCTCATGGTCCTGCTATTCGTGTCCGGCGGCGACGCGGAAGCCATCATCTCTGCAGCTCCCGGCCCACTTCTACAAATTTTGTACAACGCCACAAGCAGCAAAGCTGGAGCCGCATGCCTCTTGATGTTTCCATTGATCTGCATCCTTTTCGCGGAGATTGCCATCATGACTACCTCTAGCCGCATGACATACGCATTCGCTCGAGATGGCGGCCTTCCATTCTCCAGGGTTTTCGCCAAGGTACATCCACGACTCGGCCAACCGCTCAATGCTCTGATCCTGGCTGCGACCCTGACCATCCTGTTTGGATTGATCTTGATCGGGTCCAGTAGCGCTTTCAACGCTCTCATCTCATCCTCCGTCGTCGCCCTGGGCGTCAGCTACGCCATTCCCGTCGCAATCAACGTCTGCCGCGGCAGAAAGATGCTTGGACCTAGGGCTTTCGTTCTGCCTGGACCATTGGGCTGGATCGCCAACTTGGTCGGTATCGCATACACAATCATCACCACCGTTCTGTTCCTCTTCCCGCCTGAGCTCCCTGTCTCAGCGTCCAACATGAGTAAGTTTTAGTATGAGTGTGCTTGGGCCTCGCTAACAACGCTAGACTACTGCGTTGTTGCTTTCGGCATCATACTGTTCATCAGTACCTTCCAATGGTTCATCGATGGGCGCAAGAACTTTACTGGACCTCGGGCGGATGTGGACCTCGAGATCTTGGAAGCTATGCAGAGCAACGAGCCAAACGGTCCTTCGCTCCAGCATTCCAAAGTCCCTGGTGACGATATCACCAAATAGTTCAAGCGGTTGCATATAGAATCATCGCATGTGTATACCCTTACACAATATTCTTATTCTCATGCATGACTAATCCTTCCCCGTCACGACGCATTTAGTGAAAGCACGAACTAACTCCCCCACAATAGTATCAACACAGGTACTGAAACGCCACATTCACTACTCTTGGCACTGTTATTAATGACGCTAAAGCTTCCGCACCCCACGCAATATACCTCGACTTCCTGTTCACAGCACTGTCCCACTCACAGCACTCTTTTCGATCCGCTTTCCGTCAACATCAACCCTATCACAGCAACTCGCCAATAGCAAAGATGTTTAATCCCATCCGCAAGCTCTTAAGTTTCTGGAGCGCCGCCGATGCGAACGTCACCACATCGTCCAACGACGCATCAACCAAGTATGTAGCGACTGAGAGCACAGCGTACCGGGCCGCCTGCAATCACGCCGCACCTCCTACACGGTACGCGAGCGGCGTATTCAACACCACACCGTCTCCGCCGCCCAATGCTGCGCTATCAGGGTACTTGTTCTCACAAGTGAAGAACACCAACACGTCTACATCGAGAATGAGGAACATCCCGCCACCGCCATTTCCCATGTTTAGTGCGCCGACGGGCAACGCGACCGAAGCCGCTTCTACCACGTCGGACGACATCGATATGCCAGATGCAACGCCCGTGTCACCTCTGATACCTGCAACTACACCTTCCCGTGATGGTGATGATATCCGGCCTTCGGTCGAGACACCAGCCGGAGAAGACGGTCATAGTGCAGCCGCTGAAGACGATGACACTAGCGAGCCGCGCAATGACACGACACCACCTACATCTCCGGAACGTGACAGTCGTACTCGTTCCCAGCCACCGCGCCAACAAAACCACCAACAGACGACACCCCCATCAGAGCCCGCGCCAAACTGGCTAGACGAAATCGTCATCGAAGAAGACACCCCCGAGAACGCCCTCCCAGTCGGCTACATGGGTACATTCCGCGGTAGCCGGCACTTCATCCCCGAATACCCCGGCATGAAACGCTGCAGCAACCAAGTCACGCACCTCCTCCTCTGCGGCCACTGGATCTCCAGCACCGAACCCTGCGGCGCCAACTGCAAAAAACAAGACCACACCCACAAACAATTCAAATGCCCTACCTGCAACGACATCGTCCGCAATATCCTCACGGGATCTTTCCAACCCGCGGACTCGATGAGGCTGAGGGAGTTCAGGAAGCAGAAAGATATTAAGTTTCTGGCTTGCTGTGTCGAGGTGGTTGTGAGGGCTGCACCGGAAATTAAGAATGGGGTTACGGAGGCTGTGGCTGGGTTTCTCTGCAAGGATTCTGGAAGGGAGTGTGAGAAGGCGGAGAATCCTGATCCGAGTGGTCATGATAGTATTGAGGAGATTGTAAGGGATATGCAGGAGCGATATGAGCGGAAGCAGCGTGAGAGGAGGGCGAGAGAGGAGGAGGAGGTGAATACGCATGGGAAACGTGCTAGGGAGGAGGATGCGAGGGATGGGAATACCGATAAGGAAACACGCACGAACGGGGATACACCGGGGGAGCGTAAGCGTGAGCGAAACGACGCCTCCTCGGGTGAGAACGAGACGCAGGATACCTCACCTCCTACCTCCAAAAAGCGCAAGACGTCCCTAGAAACCCACCGCGAACCCATCACACCCTCTACCCGTGGCACAAAGCGTCGTTCCCCGTTCTCGACCCCATCACCTTCCCCACCACCTTCCTCCTCCTCCTCCCCCACCGCCTCACCCTTCGCCTACCTCCCCAACTTTAAACCCCCCTCCCCACCATATCCATCACCACCCCCAAAGAAGAGGGTCTTCGAGAAGCCCGATCCCGCATTCGGCGAGGCCAGCTTCGTCATCGCGCCGCCTCATGTCGTCGGGCCGCTTATGCGGAAGCGGCATGCTGATGTTTATGTTGAGGGGGATATTGAGCGGGAGAGTAAGCGGCGGAGAAGTCAGGAGAATGAGGCAGAGGGTGAGAGGGGGAGGGTGGGTGAGAGGGTAAGGAAGGAGATGAGGAGGGGAAGTGGTGGTATTACTTGGAAGGAGTTCGAGGCTTTTAGGAGGGCGTGGGATGGTAGGGATGAGGAGGAGGAAGAGGACTGTGAGCTTTAGGGGCTAGTCTGGGGAGTGGAATTGCAGGACTTTGGAAAGTGTTGGTGGTGGTTATCATTAACGGTTCTGCGAGAGTTTAGTTGGTTGAAGACGGGGTGGTTACTTGCGCGTGTTTTGCGGTCATTCTTTTGCGACATATCACATTGTCATTTTTGGAACTATCGCGCAGGTATCGGTGGTTCAACGAGTGCAAGATACGCGTTTTGGCATCTGGGGGCGGTTCAGCTCTATGTCAATAAGGAAGACCGATATTTTCCCGAGCATGTGAGAAGGCTCGGAACAGTTCCGCGGGACTGCGAAAATGCTCTACAACATTTATAAAGGCGCTTACGGAGATACAATCGCATTAAATAAAGACACATGACTACTTGTACTTACACACAATTCCCCCAATCCAACTACCGTGTATCGCACTTCGCCGCATACCCCACCTTTGCCGTCTTGTTCTTAGTAAGGATCCGCCAAGAGCCCTTGTAGATCCCTGTCACATTCTCGGACAGCCCACCTAAAGCGCTCCAAAGCATGTCACATATCAGTCATCTCCGCCCTACCCTCTTGCGGCGTATATAGCTCCCCATGTGCGCCCCTCCCAATGTTTGCCCAGGACCTACGAATCGATACTCCCCATAATGGCGCAAATGGCTAGGATACGGGCGGGTCCGGCCGCGCTGCGACTGCGACGGGCGGCTGGTGGCAATCAGATGTCACGCTCGCTTTCACGACCGTTATCACACCCGGCGACGCGACTGTCGATAGGCGCGTTACGCGCAAGATGCATTGCGACGAATGCTGCGATCCAGGAGCCCGATGTGGATTTCCCCGCGAGTGTGCCTCCAGTTTCGGTGCCGGCGACGTCGAAGGTGGATGAGCGGAGGAAGGCGATTAAGAACGCGAAACCTTTTTCTGATTTCCTGACGGATACGTTCAATCGGCAGCATGACTATCTCCGCATCAGCATTACCGAGCGCTGCAACCTGCGGTGTCTGTACTGCATGCCAGAGGGTGCGCTCCAAACACTTCTATAACAAAGGTACCTGCTAACAAAAAAACAGAGGGCATACCGCTATCACCCCCCGCTAACATGCTCACCACACCCGAGATCTTCTACCTCTCCTCCCTCTTCGTCTCGCAAGGCGTAACCAAGATCCGGCTCACAGGCGGCGAGCCCACGGTCCGCCGCGACATCGTCCCGCTCATGCAGCAAATTGGCAGTCTGCGCCCGCGCGGCCTCCGCGAACTCGCCCTCACAACCAACGGCATCTCGCTACACCGCAAACTAGACGCCATGGTGGAAGCAGGTCTGACCGGCGTCAACCTCAGCCTCGACACCCTAGACCCGTTCCAGTTCCAGATCATGACCCGACGGAAAGGCTTCGACGCCGTCATGCGCTCCATCGACCGCATACTCGAAATGAACAAGCTGGGCGCAAAAGTTAAGCTAAAGGTCAACTGCGTCGTCATGCGCGGTCTCAACGAGCGCGAGATCCTGCCTTTTGTCGAAATGGGCCGCGAGAAAGACATCGAAGTGCGATTCATCGAATACATGCCCTTTGGCGGCAATAAATGGAGCGAGAACAAGATGATCAGCTTCCAGGAGATGTTAGACACCATCCGCACGAAATACCCCGGGCTGAGACCGGTCCCTGGACACAAAAACGACACGAGCAAGACGTACGAAGTGCCTGGTTTTGTGGGCAAAGTCGGCTTTATAACGAGTATGACGAACGATTTCTGTGGGTCCTGTAACCGGCTTCGCATTACGAGTGACGGGAATCTTAAAGTCTGTTTACATGGTAATGCGGAGGTGAGCTTGAGAGATGTGCTAAGACAGGGCAATGGCGGCGAGCCTATTGATCAAGAAGCGTTTGAGCGCATAAAGCAGGTCGAGATGGACAGACACGAAGGCCGGCTTAGCGACGAAACGGTGCTGGGCTGGGGCCAACGCGAGCGCGAACTTCTCGATGTTGTTGGAGCTGCTGTGAAGCGCAAGGCGGAGAAGCATGCTGATCTGGACGACCTTGCCAATATGGAGAATAGGCCTATGATTTTAATTGGTGGGTGAATTTGGATCTCCTTTCTCTTTTCTTCTTCACGAACAGTCACGGTTGGACGTCTGATGATACCACGGCGGTCACTGCATAGATAGCGTTTTGAGCGATTTCGTTTCTCTTGACTGCACTATCGCTTAGACTTGGATATCTGGCTATATACACCAATCACATATCCGATTCTGCCTTCATCTGAGACCGTCCAGTCTGTGATGTACCTTGCTGACCTTCATTAGATGACAAGCCCTTGTCCAGTCTGGATTCCCAGTGGTCCACGTTACGAAGACAACCACCCCACCACTCAAACCCCCTACTCCCCCGATCCAGCACACCCACCTCGCCCCTGCCTTTCCTACACACCACATCTCCTCCAACAACCACAACAACCACAACAACTACTACTATCCGCGCCTTCTCCACATCCCCCACCCCCTCCGCAAAGAAAACCTACCAACTCAAACGCCTCGCCAAAGCAAAGAAGCTCCTAAAGAACATCGACACGTCCCGATCCACAGACGCTTTCGGCGTCCAACAGTTTTTAGAGGACGTCGAAGCGCCGAATGAATCTGAAAACCTCCTGAGGGACATCGAGAAGAAGATTGCGAATCTACATCGTCGGATCGTGGAGGTTGAGAGGGGGACGCCGCTTGCTCCTGCTTCTGCATCCCGGGTGCTGGACCCGCCAGTATCGCCGGTAGTGCCTGAAGTACGTGTGGCTGATACGTTTGATGCCGTTGGCACTCCTATTGGTAACGATGCGACGGCACCAAGAAAAAGGAAAGGCAAAAACGAGCGCGAGCGAGCCCGAAGACGGGAACAAGAAAGGTATCGAACTGAGAAGATGAAAGAACTTGGTGTGCTCTTAGCGTCGTATAAACAACAAGCCGCAGTCGTCAAAGCCGAAGCAGAAAAGACAGCTGAGATGCGAAAGCGACGCGAACAAGTCCTAGCAAAAAAACGCTTACTACTCCAACAACTCAACGCACATGAAGAGGGGGAGCGCAGGGCTAGTCTCGTGCGCAGAACCAGCATGGCGGATAGGGAGGGGGCGTTGCCGGAGGGATTCGAGCTTGATGATGTACTCGATGATGCTATGAAGAAGGTTAAGAAGATGCCGATGCATCCGCCGAGGGAAGAGAGGGAGTATAAAGAGAGGGATGTTAAAGATGTGGATGTCCCGAAGGCGAAGAGGGTGGTGTGGCCGGCGGGGAAGGGGGCTGTGAGTGTGTTGAAGAGGGGGGATGAGATTGTGGGGGATCCGATTATGGAGAGGGAACGAGATGGTGCTGGGGATGTTGGCGTGACTGAATCGACGGAGGAACAGGCGCAGACGACTACCAGCGAATCGATCGACGAGCCACTAGTAGATGAGCCAGTTGATATGGTTGCCGACGATTTCACGAGTTCAGTCGCAAACGCAGGAGATCCCTTCCCTCCCGCCTCCGTCCAACAAAAGCCATCAACCAAGGCCAGCAAACCCACCAACATAATCACCCCCCGCTCCCCACCATCCCCACCGTCCTCCAAAGATGACCTCCGCCTCAACATCCCTCCATCAGGTATCATCCCCATCGACTCTACCCTAATCCTCTCCCTCGACGCCCCCGTCCCGCACCTCCAATCCCAAGTCCTCGCCCTCCGCAACCGCCTAAAATCCTCCTACCCGCGCATCGACAACCTACCCTACGACGTCTGGACCTCGTCCAACAAACGCACCTTGCAAACCTGGCTTAAAATCTTAATCAGCCGGTGGAACGCGCGGTTTGATCATGTTGATGGTACTGGTCAGGTGGATAAGCGCATTGTGGATGAGAGGGTCAAGGAGGTACTGGATAGTATGGTTCGGGAACATGATTTGGGGAATGAGGCGGCGGAACGCATGGCGGTGAGGTGGCATGAGGCGTTTGAGCGGAGGGGGGATATGTGGGGGGATGCGGAGGGGGTGTTGGATTGGGAGGAGATGGAGGCGGGGGGGTTGGGGTTTTTGGGTTTGGAGACTGAAGAAATGGATGGTGAGGTGCCGATGCTGAAGCAAGAGATGGGCGAGACTGGTGAGGAGGTGGATGGCGAGAAAAAGATTGAGCCTATGCCTGTGAGGATGGCGGGGAGTGGCGTGACAACGAACGGGGTCATGGGACGGAGGATGTATTCGACGTCGACGAGGAGGGGCTTTTGGTCATGGTCGAAGATTCTAGGGACGGATGGAAAAGACGAGAAGAACGAGAAGAAAGAGGAGGTGAAGCAGGGACCCACGGTAGACGCCAAACCAGACAGCAAGACTCAGCCCAAGCCCGCTGCTACGCCGAACGCCAGACCAGTCGTGAAAACCGATGCGAAAACGCACGAGAAGACCAACATCCAATCAATCGCCAAACCAGACGTCAAGCCCGACCCAAAGCGCCAACCCAAGCGCCCCGCAGAGTCCGTCCCACCAAAGCCCGACGACCAATCTGACGCCAAAGCGGAAACAAAAGATGACGCCAAACCCGACCCCAAAGCAGACACAAAAGATGACGCCAAACCCGACCCTCGCAAAATTAGAGAAGACTCACCTCGGATGCATCGGCCTCCCGGTCAGGGCGTAAGTAAGACCGTCTTGCGGAATAAGAGGAGGCAAGCTAAGAAGATGGAGGATGAGAGACGAATGACTGAGGTACTGGAGCGAGGAAGAGAGGGTGGGGATGAACAGATGGACGTCCAAGAGCAAGGGATAGAAGATGAGAAGAGAGAGTTGGGCGCACATGAACATGCAGGAGAATTCGAAACCAAACAACCGCCCCAACAGCCGCCCCAACAGCCGCCAACGGTCGAACGCGCAATCGACGAATTACCGCAATACCGAGTGGAAAGCATCAAAAAGGTCGAGGAAGTCTTACCTAAGCCCGTACCACGTACCCACCAAATCGTACCTAACCAAGACGCCGACACCGACACCGATAAACCAGCCTTCGTACGCGCCAAGAGACCCCTCCAGTCCCTACCTGGACTCAGACGCTCGAGGCATGTTGAATGGAGGAAATTGGAGCGGACAGAATTGCCCGGGCCGCCTAGACATATTGTGAAGCCCCCGACAGACAGCAAGGGCAAGGCTCCAGGAACAACGTCGCTGCAGGACTTTTTGGATAGCATGAATGAGGTTGCTGCGCATTCGCCTTTTGAGGCGGAACCGAGACAGCAGACTCGTCCTCTGTCGATGCTGGAGGGGGAGATGGAGGTACCAGTGCAACAACCATCCTCCGCTCAACAACCCGTTTCACAGACTAAACCCACCCCCTCACAATCCCAACTACAACAATCCCAACTACAACAGTTCCAACAACAACCATCCCTCCCCCACCTCACACCCTCGGGATCCGCACACATGGTCTCCGTATCCGCCAAAGAACACACCACCCGCACCGCCATCGCCGTCGGATCCGTGTATTTCACAAACGCCGTGCCCCTCCGCCTCATCCGCTCAAACGCCAACAAAAAGGGAGATGTGTTGGGTACATCGCGCATAGCCGGCATAATGGCCGCGAAAAAATGCCCAGACCTAATCCCACTATGCCACCCCATCGCTCTCACGCACGTTGGCGTTGAACTCCGCCTTTTTGGTGATAAGGGGGATCCGCGGACAACAACAACAACAACAACAAAGGAAGGGGAGATGGAGGGGATTATGGGGGTATTGGACGGGAAGGGGAAGGACAAGATGAGGAAGATGGGGAAGATGGGTTTTGGGGGTGTGAACATCGAAGCCAAAGTGCAATGTACAGGCCCCACGGGAGTGGAAATGGAGGCCCTGACAGCGGTTATGGGCGCGGCGCTTAGTGTGGTGGATATGTGTAAGGCGGTGGATAGGGCGCAGAGGGTGAGTGGGGTTAGGGTTGTTATGAAGGAGGGGGGGAGGAGTGGGGGGTGGAGAGAAGGGGGGTGGAGGAGTTGGCAGGAGTGAAGGGGGATATTTAGGTGGAAGTGGGTGAGTGTAGGATTGTGTGGTTGTAAGAATAGAGGGGTGTGATTATATGCCCAGGTGTGGTTGAGAAGTCTGCGTTGATGTGACACTCTCTGCCGTCTTTATTCATTACTTCGGGGCTTAGGGGGTGCGTGGTAATGGCTAGACACGGCATTTGCTTGATGTTCTGCTTCTCTCTGCGCTTATGGAGAACTGGCAAGGTGTCCAAGGGCTTCGCTTGCGACTCTCTTATAAGTTTGGTGATACTTGGTTACCTTGATTGTCCTAAGATGGCGGACAAGACAGGGTAGTAGAGCTATTGAGAGCAGAGTTTCATGTACGTGCACGCCCTTCGAGGGACGAAGTCATCTTCACCACAGCAGTGCATGAGTCACGATAGCTATTTTGATGCGCGAAAACCTCCACACGATACTAATTCTGGTATGACTTGTGTAAATACCTTTCTTCAAGGGCGTGTATGTATAACCTGATCAGTAATCCAAAGGCGGAGTGGTAGGCATGACTCCGTCGGCGCCTTTGCGACTCCTGTCAGCCTTGCGTACGCACACACGGCCATGGCAGTCTACCATGGATGGAGGGAAGGCGCAATACCGGAAACTCTATCATGCTCTGCGATGGCGAATAGCTCGAGCTGACATGTGAAACAGACGCAGCTAAGGCACCAGACGATCTCAGGGCAGCGATAGTGGCAGCCCGATGTGTAGCGCGCCACGTGATTGGTCGTCGGACCCCATATGCCGTGTAGTCCGTGCGGTCCGGGCAAGGGTTCAAGCTAGTGACATCACTTTCTCAACATCAGTGGGGGACGGCCTCGAGACGTCACTCGCCCGCGCACCTCGACTGCGCGCGATCTCCAGTTGTTCTGCCGCTATGAGTATAGAGCCAGTCTTAGGACCCTGAGCGCCTGAAACTGCGGGTCCCAAAACAACGTGTTGCATGCTACCGTAGAGTTTGTCGGTGTGCCCTCTTTATAGGGCGCATCGCGCCTTCCCAAAGCAGGGTTTGCCTGAATTGCGCCAATTCAAGACGACGACTGCCACGCAATTTCCCTCATCACTGCCACCAAGCGCGCCATTATAGTCCTCTCTTCCCGCATCAACCGCACCTTCACCACCACACCCACCTCAACACATGCGCAACTAGACAGCGACCTCATCCCCGCCATGACCAGCGTACTAAAAGGCGGCTTCGGCTCGCCAAACGGTGCGCCATTAATCGCGACCAACTCAGGCACCGAGTTCGTCAACACCGTGTGCCCACTCAAGAGCGCCCTCGATGGCTACGACAACACGCTCCCCTGCAGCCAGCAGAAGATCCACGTCCCGCAGAACTTCTGCGACGCCATGGCCATCCGCGAGGAAGTCTACGGCGAGCAGGGCGTCCCCCTCGAAGCCGAGTTCGACGAAGACGATGCCCGCAGCTGGCACTGGGTCGCTTATGCTTCCGTCGCCACTCACTCAACCCACCCTCCCAAGACACTGCGCCGCTCCGACTCTGGCAACACTCCAGCTGATGACGCCCGCCGCGCCTCAGCCACCGCCACCCGCGTTCCCGTCGCGACGATTCGCCTGATACCCCCGCCCCACGGCCCGAACAAGTACGTCGAGGACGACAAGACGGACAAGCATGCCGATGCAGACCCACCCGGTGAGGAGCAGGAGAGTAAGCACCCGCCGGAGCCATACATCAAACTCGGCAGGCTCGCGGTCCTAGCACCCTACCGCAGTCTCGGCCTCGCGAAGCTGCTCATCAACGCCGCCCTCGACTACGCGGGGTCAAATCCTGATCTCATCTACCGGCCTCCATCTCCCACCGCGCTGGAGATGGCGCAGATACTCGGCAACAATAAGGAGAGGGAGATTACCTGGCAAGGCTTGGTCATGATCCACGCCCAAGCCAACCTGCAGAGCATGTGGGAGAAGCACGGCTTCCACGAGGAGCTGAAGAACGATGACGGCGAGGTTGAGATACCAGCAGAACCCCACTGGATCGAAGAAGGTATTGAGCATGTTGGCATGTGGAAGAGGTTGCCGATTGAGAAGAGGAAGAGGTTGTCGCTTTCTTCCCTGGAGTCGGGGTCTTGAAAAGTTATGTTTTGTTTCTGGTTTACTTACACATGTTTGATAGGTTTTGGCTTGGAGACGTGCCGAACATCTACGTCAGGCCATGATTCAGGCCATGATGTTTACGCTCATTTTACGTACGGAGGATTCAACATTGCTTATACCCCACACTGCACGATTACGACGATACGGCCGAATTTCAACATTAACTGTTTTGCGAATAGAAGAGGATGAAGAGGAAAGACATAGAGGCGTCATGGTACATGACTATAGACTAGTAAATCCTTCTGCTTCTCACATCATTCACAGATCCAATCCAAGATTCGCGTTTCTTCATATCAATCTTCGTCCCATATTACCGCGAATCGCAATGAACTGGGTGAACAGAACGCCCAAATCATTCCTCAGAGTCCCGCGCCGTTTTCGATCCTATTCCAACCCCGTCTACATCTTTTAGCGAACTTTCACGTCTTGGTATTCCTTCACTAGCCCGAAACTGGAGAAGCGAACTCGGGTCCTACGCAGTGCCTGTTGGTATGCGATTCATGCGACTTCCTCTTGGCCACCAGCCGAGTAGTACCCGCACGGCAGAAAGTTGCCGATATGTAGTGTGTTGCGCCAGAGGGAGACGCATCCCACCAGTGCGACCACGCACCGACCACACACCGGCCTCGTCACATTCACAGAACGTGGGCACAGTAAAACAAACGACGCACTAATATACTTCCCGCTGTCGGAAACATTTCACTCCATACCCCCGCTAGATCAACTTGCAAAAGTAACAATTCGGTACCGTGCATCCCGGGTAGAGCAGTGGACGTATCTTCTCTTTACTTCAATTTGTCTGCTCTATACTGTCGGCCTTATTATATCTATGGAACGTGACCACAGTTGTACAAACGACACACTAAAGTTCTTCCCGCTCTTGGAAACCTTTCACTCAAAGGTTCCACTAGATCACGTCGCAAACAGAGCAATCCGGTACCTTGCATCCTTCCCGTCTCCTCCCTTTTTTACCACGTCACATCACAACGGGAACCCGCTGCTCTTCCACTGCTTCACCAATATCACACTCGCTTCAATGTCCTCAGATACCCCCACCAAACCCGCCTTCAAAGCCCGTCTCCTCAAGCTCCTCCGCCTTTCCACTCGACCCGTCGTCATGCTTCCGTTTCTGGGTACCATCGGCCTCGTACTCGTCATCACACTCACAGTGCTCCTACCGCAAAATGTTCACTCCATCGAAATCCCCGGCGCGGACAACAACCACAATTACCTCGTCGCCGTCTCCCACTTTCCCCTGACAGATTCCACAAAAAAGGATCCTTACCGCCTGGATGAAGACCGCAGGCTCATGGTCAGCTTGTATATGCCTGTACCCAGGAAACAGTGCTCTGCAATGGGCCAGCAGGAGTATATGCCGCCGCAAACCGCGAAAATAGCAAACGAGCAGTTCATCGAAGGCAACGAACGTGACGCAGGTGTTTTCGAAGCAATGACATATTCGTCTTGCATCAGCAGCAGCAGCGGCGGCGGTGGTGACGTCAGCAAAGTCCCCGTCGTGATCCTAGAACCACACGTCGACACGAGCAGGTTGATGTACTCAACAATGGCGCGCTACATCGCCGCCAACGGCGCCGCAGTCGTAGTCATCGACCACCCTGGCGACGCGTCAATCGTCCAATTCACGTCCTCGCGAACCCGCGATTTGGAGATTGTGTATAATAGCGGGACGGTGCCTTTATCCAACCTCTCCCCCCTCACGCAGTGGAACCAAACCGTGCAATCCGCAGTCGAAACACGCATATCCGATATCGCATTCACCCTCAGCCAAATCAACAGTACCTCCTTACTCTCGCGCCAATTCCCGTCCCTCCACTTCTCGGGTAGTTTAAACACAGAAACCTACGGTATCATAGGCCACGGCCTCGGCGGCACAGTCGCAACCTCCCTCGCCCTCTTCCCAACCCTCCTCTCCCCAACCCTGCTCAATGCTACAAACCCCCCCACAGCGCGCTTCTCAATCAATCTCTCCGGCACACCCCCCCTCCTCAACACCTCCACCCCCAACACCCCCCTCTTCTTCTTCGGCCGCGCAGACTTCCGCCGCGAACACGACATCAACTGGCCGACCACCTGGTCGCATCTCACGGGTCCAGCTACCGAGTTCGATCTCGACGACTCTGCTATTTTTGACGCCTCAGATCTACCATTAGTTATGGAGTTGGCGAGGGAGGAGGGTGGGAAAACGGGGGCGGTGGGAAGGGGGCTTAGTGGGAATAGGCCGGCGGAGGGGGCGAGGGCGGTGATTTGCTTTGCGGAGAATCTTGTTAAGGAGATGGTGGGGTAAGTTGTTTGGGATGGAATGGCGCTGGAGGTGGGAATGGATGCTGACTTGTTCTTAGGCTTAATGGTCAGGGGAGGAATGTTGGGGATTGTGTTAGGATGTTTGAGGGGGTTAGGCCGTATCCTGGGTATGGGAGGGGGAGGTGAGGGGGGTGATTTGGTGGAGGGTGGGGGTTTCGGTCACCTGGATCCGTTTTTGGGTTTCGGGAAGATGATGACGATGGGGCCTAGAGGTAATTGGGCAGTAGGATCTATCGGCTCACTACAAGGCGTGACGGGATAGTAGAGAAGAGAGAGAGGACGGGAGCGTAATGTAAGAAGGCTAGTGTGTCGCAAGATAGCGCCAACGTTTGAAGTACAGATACGGCTAGAGACACGGCATGTGGCGTGGCATGTTGTGAATTATACAAAGAATTCGTAGAAGTAGAAGAAAAGCGATGGTGCACGTCTATAGAGAGTTCTGACTATTTTCGCGTTCTAGACTCAAATTTGACCTCATCCCTCGCTTTCACTGTCTTCGCAGTCCGAACTTTCCATGATGTCTAGCTCCATGTAATCTTGTACCCATCTCCTCGCCCATTCGTATACAGCACCTTTGGGGCTTCTAGCAAACGAACCAATAATAATACTTTCTTCCATGTTCCAGAGTGGCGTTTCAACCTCGCACTCTGTGTGGTTCGCCAAGGCATCCTGGATGGGGGAGTGCATAAAAGCCTCCCATATCTGCAATGAAACCTCAGCAACACACCAAAATATCATGGATCTGGACATGGATGAAGCACTCTCGAGATCCGGTTGATCGAAATACGCCTTGAGAGAGATTGATAAAGTCCACGGAGACACATCAAGCGCCGCGTTTGGGTATGGTGTCTTGATCTTGAGGAGTATCTTTTGGATCAAAGATTCAAAATTGTCCACGTCTTCTTTTTCCAATCCAAAGAATGCCACATGGCTTGCGGGAACGTACGCTTTCAGCGCGGAAGGACGTTTGCATCGGTCACAGACCAACTCCCTGGACGACGCATCATGACGCGAGTCTCTTGGTTCTGGTAATGGTATCAGGGGCAACTTATGTAGCTGCAACTTGTGGCGTACTGCGTCGCCTACGAGATAATCGGGCAGCCCCAACCTGAATGTCTCAGGCAGTAATTCGGATGTTTCGGGGAACAAGTTGTAAAGCAAATCCAGCTGTTTGTGAACGGCCGGTGTTCTAACAACGTTCGCCGTAACCGCAGGGAACATAACGCGGTATAGATGTAGTAAATGCTGCGTGATGGATGACAACAGATGTTCTTTCGCAGAAACGTTTGTTGTGGTGGTATGTTCCATGGACGAGATCTCTTCGTAGAGGGCATTCAGCCACCAGACCGCCTCGTCGTTTCGCCTGGAGAAAAGTAAGCTATCAAGTTTCCGTAAACAGAACTGTTGATAGCATCGATGGAACATCCCCTGGAAGTCCAGTGCGTCTTTCAGATCCGGCCAAAAGAAACAGATCGCTCTTTTCCATCTAACTATGCTGACAGAATAACTAAAGAAACACTCATGGTATCCTTTGAAATGATACTGTCTGGGGTTCCACGGTTCAAGCATGTCTATAAGGCTGCGGACACGGCTCAGAAGTCTGACTACCACACTCTTAGCGGCTGCGAAGTCTACAGTCGCAGAGACTCCGATCGTCACAAGCGGATCGCCGTCGTCCCAATCAATTCGGATTGGGCGAGAAAGACTAGACTGTAGCTTGAGCTCGATATCCGCTATAGGCAAACTCGTTGGTAGATCGGTGTAGATGGACATCTCGGAAAACTTCGTTCGTACGTTGCAGGTGAACTTCGGGACCGCTGTGTAATGCGAGTACTTCTTCAATATGTTTTGACATCGAAGGCAGATACCATGAACAGAGATCTCGCACTTTGAGCTGGATCAGCAACAGAATTAAGCTTGGGATGGAAAGTCATATACACACCTTTCGTCTGCTGAAACGACATCCAAAGCAGGAAAATGACGTTTTCTCCGTGACCCGACGACGCTTTGGCTGCGATTGTCGGCGCTGACGATCGGCATCCGGGTTTGTATGAAATTGGATATTGTCCACCGCGCGGCCAGATCTTGATCCACTCTCATCATCGCCGTTCGAAATGATCAGTTTCCGCTTGCGATGGCTGATCAATCCTCTGCTACCCTCAGCAGGCATCGAGGGCAGGATTATGCTCGGAATGTCGAGATGAGATGCTTTCGAGTGATCGAATCCTGGAGACGGTGGCGGGATTGGCCTTGCAACAGTCAACGACGAATCAGTAAATGGGGCAATATGTCTGCTCCATGGGAAGCCGGCAGGAGGGGCTGCCATATCGGAAATGGACCTGTTGGTTGTGTATATTGGCACCTCGCTTGAGGTGACAAGACCTGGTTGGGAATCGTGCTGTTGGAGGCTCGGTGGAGCGGAGGGCGGTGCAGCGGGAGCCAATAGGGTACGATAATGACTTGTATTATTACCGGCGCTCAACATGGAAGGCGTCGTGTTGTGTTGTGTTGTCGTTAGTGCCATCTGACAAAAATGTGGTCGCTGGTCGCACGCTGAGTTGTCAAAGGCATCGTAGTCGATGTTCTGGAAATTGAAGAAAGGGTTGTCCTGTTGGCCGAAGTCCTGAACGTGGTCAAGAAGCGCGTTCGGATGAATGATGGTCTCTGCCGACTGTTGTCCAGACCATGGGTCGACGTCTAATTCATATCCGCTGCTGCTTTGATCCGAGGTAAAGCCGTGGTCAGGCATCCTGGCTGGGTACGCTGGCACCATTGAGACGTCGCAGGCGGCGGTATAGCCTGTCGCGGTCTTACGTGTCGCAGCATATGAATCTCTAGTAGCAGTTTCTGTTGGATTCACAATCGCGGAAACGGTGTGCGCCTTGTTCTGGATCTCCCAGCAGGCTACGGCATGTCGCAAATCCTCCTCAGCAAACTCCTCTTGTACGCCTTCAAGTAGGACTGGCACCTGTGCTTGTATGTGTCCGGCAGAATGAGATGCTTGCTGATTGTAATGGAGGGATTCAAACGACGTTGGCTGAGGCACATAGTGTGGTCCCATGCTCGTTGATGCATGACCTGACATCAGGTGACCGTCGAACAGCTGAAGAGGATATGGGATAGCTTCGCAGTCGCCTATTGGGACCGGTACATCGGGTGATCGATGGGTCCATCTCGTTGTAGCTTTGTTTCGTCGTCCAGACTCAAGTGGATATTCGCATGGGTCCATGGGATCGACTCGCGGGCCTGATGAATGAGAGATGACTAGGTGCCGGACTTGTTCGAAAGACGCGCCTGAAAAGCCAAGGGTGGCGATGGAAGACGCTGATAGTGTGGTACACCGCTGAATAGGTGCGCAGCTGAGTCGAAGCCCTCAGAGCAATGAAGTGGTGAGTAGGACGTTGACATGCTGCTGAGTGTAGGTAGCCTTGGGGTATTAAAGTGACTAGACGAAGATCCAATGTGTTGACTGACCGGCAGAGATCTGAAAAGCAAAGAGAAGGCTGAGTTACACGAAAGCATGTGGGCGGCGTCACTGTCAGCTTCCGCACCCCAGAGCGGACTAGTATACGACATCCTTCATACGCTGTCGCTCCTTCCGCAGCCGAAAGAGTCCTAGCGTTGTTTCGAGTAATCATTAGCGCCATCCGATCGCCACCACTCTACACCTCCGCAACTCAATAACGACTAGCACCACCACGAGATACCGATGCTCATCGTTCCGCACCCAGATACAGATGTGCGAAGCAATTATGCCCCTAATCTTCACGATCTCGCTGCGCATAGACTTGATGCCTTGTTACCATACTTGTATTGCTATCTAGATGCTGATAAGAGGGCGGATGCCGAACTTCGTCAATCACAGAACAAGACCTCACCCCAGCCTAAGTCGAAGCTACATTTTCTCATCTCTTTCGATTGGGTGGTTGGCATAGCAGAGTCAAAGAATCCATAGCCTATCAATTCCGCCCTCTTGGCCCCCACATCCCCTGACCAAGCCACTCGGAAACGGCATCCAACCATGTGGACAAGATCAGATGTGCTTGCTCTCCTTCAGCTTCTTGCTATGATTGTCTTTGCGACAATTCATGCTGTATGGTGTTTGACCATTCGTCAAGGTGCGCGTCTTCGCCTTACTCGAGATACCTTGCTGACAGCACTAAAGTCGCCATGCGACGTAGCGCGTACGCTCCAGCCTGTCGTGATGGAGATGGGAGTAGGGGTCAGGCGCAGCCACTGTCACAGCCACGAACGCTGTCAAAGCCACTGCCACTGCCGCGCAAGTGAATGTTCTCCTCGAGTATTGCAGCGCAGCTATAGATATGCTTTTAGCCACAAACCACCCCATCCCTCGGCTCCTCAACAACCTCCTCCTTCCCCCCTTTCACTCCCTCTTCCGCATCCTCCCCACCCAAAACCCTCTCCTCAACCCGTCCCCCAGGCACCAACCCCACACTCTTCTCCAACCCCTCCTCTTTCTTCTTCCTCTCCACCTCCTCCTCCGCCCTCTTCCTCTCCTTCTTACTAACAGTCATACTCCCCTTCTCCAACGCCTCCTTAGGCAGCGGCCTAACATACGGCTGACACACCCAGTACGGCCTCTTGACCCTTGCAACAGTCGCGAGAGAGGATTCGTAAGGATCCAATTCCTCCTCCTCTTTTGCGTCCTTTCCATCCACCTTCCTCTCTTCCTTCACATCTTGGGCTTCCGTGACAGCGTCGTTGGCGTGCTCCCCCTCATACCCCACAATCCCCTCCCTAACCGCCTCCTCAACAAGCCTCAACACATTCTCAAACGCCTCAATATCGCCTGTCCGTGATCGTGCAAGCGCATCGCGTACGTTATGATGTTGAGAAACCAGCGGACGCAGTAGGTGAAAGAGATGGGCTTGCATGGCTGTGAGATTGGGGTTGCTGGCTTCCTTCTTCTTTGCGGCTTTAGACAACGGTTTTTGTTTCTTCTTTGGTGGGCTTTCGCCTTGG